TTCTAAATACCAACTATTTAAATTGTAACTGTAACGGAATACAGTTACTCATAATTTGTATTCTGAATACGTAACGCCGGTACATGTATTCCGTTACTCCCCAACACTGGCTACGACTTACTAAAACGAATTAGTCCAACGTGGCTACGACTTACTAAAACGAATTAACTAAAACTACGACTTACTAAAACTACGATTTACTAAAACGAGGGAATGCATTAGTCCAACGTGGCTACGATTTACTAAAACGAATGATCGAATTAGTCCAACGTGGCTAAATTTACTAAAACGAGGGAATGGGTTCTTATTTTGCGGTCACGATATATATATGTATATATACACTCACCGGCCACTTTATTAGGTACCCCATGCTAGTAACGGGTTGGACCCCCTTTTGCCTTCAGAACTGGCTCAATTCTTCGTGGCATAGATTCAACAAGGTGCTGGAAGCATTCCTCAGGGAGTTTGGTCCATATTGACATGATGGGATCACACAGTTGCCGCAGATTTGTCGGCTGCACATCCATGATGCGAATCTCCCGTTCCACCACATCCCAAAGATGCTCTATTGGGTTGAGATCTGGTGACTGTGGAGGCCATTTTAGTACAGTGAACTCATTGTCATGTTCAAGAAACCAATTTGAAATGATTAGAGCTTTGTGACATGGTGGAAGTAGCCATCAGAGGATGGGTACATGGTGGCCATAAAGGGATGGACATGGTCAGAAACAATGCTCAGGTAGGCCGTGGCATTTAAACGATGCCCAATTGGCACTAAGGGGCCTAAAGTGTGCCAGGAAAACATCCCCCACACCATTACACCACCACCACCAGCCTGCACAGTGGTAACAAGGCATGATGGTTCCATGTTCTCATTCTGTTTACGCCAAATTCTGACTCTAACATCTGAATGTCTCAACAGAAATCGAGACTCATCAGACCAGGCAACATTTTTCCAGTCTTCAACTGTTCAATTTTGGTGAGCTCTTGCAAATTGTAGCCTCTTTTTCCTATTTGTAGTGGAGATGAATGGTACCCGGTGGAGTCTTCTGCTGTTGTAGCCCATCCGCCTCAAGGTTGTGCGTGTTGTGGCTTCACAAATGCTTTGCTGCATACCTCGGTTGTAACGAGTGGTTATTTCAGTCACTGTTGCCCTTCTATCAGCTCGAACCAGTCTGGCCATTCTCCTCTGACCTCTGGCATCAACAAGGCATTTCCGCCCACAGAACTGCCGCTCACTGGATGTTTTTTCTTTTTCGGACCATTCTCTGTAAACCCTAGAGATGGTTGTGCGTGAAAATCCCAGTAGATTAGCAGTTTCTGAAATACTCAGACCAGCCCTTCTGGCACCAACAATCATGCCACGTTCAAAGTCACTCAAATCACCTTTCTTCCCCATACTGATGCTCGGTTTGAACTGCAGGAGATTGTCTTGACCATGTCTACATGCCTAAATGCACTGAGTTGCCGCCATGTGATTGGCTGCTTAGAAATTAAGTGTTAACGAGCAGTTGGACAGGTGTACCTAATAAAGTGGCCGGTGAGTGTATATTTGTCTGTATGTCATGTGCGGTGCTCCGTATTATAGAAATGCTATCGTGGATTTTTTGCTTTGCTATTGGAGTAAATGGGAATGCAAAAGTTATATTTGTTGTGGTTTCGTTCAGCACTATAGAAGTTCACCCAACTATGATGATGAGATCTGTTTGAGAACCCTGCCTGGATATGGGAAAGGGTCCATTGCACTCAACATATAATTAGCACTTAACAAATTGTTAACAAATTTACAACCTAAAAAAACCCCGTTTTAAATGCTTGAGTATACACAAAAAATCATTTTTGATTTCTCAGCTCTTTGTCTGATCCAACATCTCAATTATGAGACTTCAGCCTCCACTCCGCCTGGTCTTTTTCACACTGGCCCGCTGTCTCGGCCAACTGCCAGGCCAAAACATTTCAATCACTGCCATTAATTAGGCCAAAGAGGAATTCGGAATGTTAATGTCCTGCTCCAGTGTCTTTCAGTGCCTCCGGTTCACATGCTAATTTATGCAAAGAGACGGTGCCGCCGCCCCACGATTTGCCATGGCACTCCATTCTTTTGGCCTGCCCTGGTGACCCCCGTCTGCCAGACATCTACCACACCATCATCTGTGTAGATTAAATGGCATTACAACAATGCAAAATGTTTCTTGTATACTGTATATTAATGGGCTATTGTTCAGTCAGCAGGTAATTATTACAAATTATATATTCATACATATTTTCACAACTTAAATATGATATATACACTACCGGTCAAAAGTTTGGATTAAGATTATTTATATTTTTCTCTTCTGCTCACAAAGGCTGCATTTATTTGATCAAAAATACAGTAAAAATATTACATATTGTGATATATTATTACAATTTAAAATAACTGTTTTCTGTTTGGATATATTTTAAACTGTGATTTATTCATGTGATTACTCTAATATGATTTGCTGCTCAAGAATTTTTTTTCCAATTACCTTACAGTTTCATTTAAGTACCATGTTTGACCCATGAATATGGTAATCAAACAGACCACGGTATAACAGTATATTCACAGTTCCTCCTACTCAATATGAAGAATATGAGTAAATTCATTCACCTTTCTTGAAATAAGCATGAGCAGGTTTTGTCTTTACACGTTCTTGACTTCTAACTGAACACTCGTTTAAGATGGTAGGAAGGCGGCCATTTTGTTTGGACCTTTTCCCTCCCTTTCATGCTTTGCTAGCAGACAACATGTAGCATTTTTTAAAGGCAGACAGCTGGGAAAGCTGCGTTCAAATTCAGCGATTTACTTCAGGCAATTAAACGGCACAGGCGTGTGAAGGTTGCAAAGAAAATTGGCGGTATTACGTCGTGCGGCTCACCTTTGCCTCACGCCAGGAGTTCTGCCTGTATATAATATATAGGCCTATATATTGTCATACATATTGTGGATTATTTTGCTAATCCTTCAAAAGCAAAGCAGAAAGAGACAAAGAAGGAAATACTTAAAAATTTCCCCTTGCATACTAAGGTCTTTGTAAACTACAACAAATGCGATATTTTCAATAAATTGAAATGCAAAGGCGGAGTCCAGTGTTTTACTTTACAATGTATGATTTTGACTATTGATATTTTAATAAATAATTACATTTTTGTAAAGTAAAAAGGCAATATAAATACATGTACAAAAAACATTTTGTATTGCACTACTGATAATTCATTTTATTTGTTAACAAATTAACATTACTATGTTACTACTATAGTAATTACAATGTTATTACTATAATAATTACTATGTTATAAATCTTGTTTATTTTACACTTTGGCAATAAAAATGTACAGTTTTTGTCACACTAAAAATTTTAATATTTTTTTATGGGTGATACTTTTAGTGTCTTCCGAATAAAACGTATTATTCTAAAAAGAACAATATGGAGATTGCATAAACATTATGAAAGGCACAAATTTTGTATGACTCATAATAAATAAATAATGTCTTTCCCCCTCTTTCTTTCATCCCCCTGCAGACCCGGTGAAGAAACTAAAGCCACGGTATGTTTGTTTGCTGTCCCTAAAGCTGAGGTAGTAGATTGAATAGTTGTGGAGTATAAAACCTCCCTTTGAGATAACTATACAATCTACTGTCTTTCTTACGGAGGCAGATTAACCAGCTGTCGACTGAAGAAACTGTGTGAAACGCACTGGAGTTCATGCTCCTCTACAGTGACACTGCAGATCTGTGTGTATCTACAAGCTGAGGTAGTAGGTTGTATAGTTTGTGGGAAGGATCACATCCTATTTGGGTGATAACTATACAGTCTATTGCCTTCCTTGAGAGACGCAATGAGCAAGAGTAAAAACAGATCATTCTGAACATCAAGAGAAAGAGTTACTAGAGTATCTTTAACCAGTCGGGATCGAATGGAAAACTTTATTTAAAGGGATAGTTCACCTAAAAATTAAAACTTTGTCATCATTTACTTGCCCTCAAGTTGTTCCAAACTTTATGAGTTTCTTTCTTCTGCTGAACACAAAAGAAGATATTTTGAAGAATGTTGGTAACCAGTTTCATGGTCTCCATTGACTTCAACAATATATATATTTTTCATATGGAAGTCGACTGTTTGGTCGCTGACATTCTTCAAAATATCTTCTTTTGAGTTCAGCAGAAGAAAGAAACAACTTAAGGGTGAGCAAATGATGACAGAATTTTTATTTTTGGGTGAATGATCTCTTTAAAACTGCTACATAAAAAACTAATATTAAGTATTAATTATAAAGATGAATACTTTCTTAGTTTACTACTGATATTTCACTTTATTTTTTAATATTACTTATTTTTATTCAGTTTATTTTACATTGCACAATTTCTCACAGCTATTCTGCAAACATGTTGGCAATAAAAAGTACATTGTTTGTCATCCTAATAAAGCATACTAAAATTGAAATAATTTGGGTGATACTTTTAGTGTCTCTTCTGAATAAAGCGTATTATTCTAAAAAGAAAAATATGATTACTGTATAAACCTAATGAAAGGTACAACTCGTTGAATTATGTGTTTATACTTATTTTTATTTATTGCACACCTCATATAAGTGCTTCAAAATAAATAAATAAAAATCAGGAAAGGTGCAACACAAACATATAAAGTTTGATAGTTTTAAACATGACTGCAGGCTCATATTTGCACTACAGTACAACCATATTATTGTGCATTAAATTATACACTCCTCTATTATCCAGATTCAGCTATAAGACACGTCAAGTCACCTTTATTTATAAAGCGCTTTTTACAATACAGATTGTTTCAAAGCAGCTTTACAGTGATTACAGGAAAATAATACATCCTACAGTTACTCTCAGACTTTGACAGTGGTGTTTGGAGGAGCCCTACTGGCACAACAGGGTAACTGCAATCTATCAAGTTTCGGTCAGTAAAGCTCGAAAGGTTTGAAAAAGCAATTTTGCAACACACTAAGAAAATCATATAAATCCCCCCTTCTTTTGGTACGTTTCATGGTACATGGAATAAAGTTAAATGAATGCTATTGACTCCCATCTCTGGACTGATTTTCCCATGAACTCGTCCATCATGGCTGTCTGAGGTATTATTAGCAGGAGCGTTTATATCTGCCTGCTGCTCTCGACCAATCACCCTCCTCCAAATCTTCCAGTACTCCTTCTTGATCTTAGGGATTTTGAAGGCATACACTACAGGGTTAACCATCGAGTTGCCATGAGAAAGGAGAATGCCAAAGTATAAAGCAATGGACGGTACATGTATATTCTGGTTATAGTATCTGATGGCTTGTATCACGTGTAACGGCAGCCAGCAAACAACAAAAAGAGCCAAAACCAAAACCAGAGATCTGGCCAGTTTGTGTTCCTTTTGGTTATATTCACCAGTTTCAGCCGCCACACCTGCTCTCCCCCTCGACTGTTTCATTTTAAGAAAGATATAGCCATACAAAGTAATCATGATTGCCAGCAGAGGAAGAAAACAACACTCATAGATGAAGTGGACCAGGTATGAATCAGGAATGACAGCAGTGAATTGACAGTCTATGGAGGTGGAATTGTAATGTGCCAGTGTGTCATGGTTGTACCATCCCAACATCGGTAAGAAGCCCTGTACGGACGCCAGTATCCAGCACACAGCGGCGAGGATCCAGGTGCGCTTTTTAGTGACTGTAGAATTGTACCTGCCAGAGAGAAATATTTCTTAAAATTAAAGATCTTTGAAAGGTGCAGTCAGTGATTTCTGAGAAACACTGTTGATATTTGAAATCAACCCAATCAAACATGACCCAATCAAACATGCCCCTCCCTTCATTGCTCCGCCCACAATACGCATAAACACGCAATGCAAGTGTGGATGTCTCTTTATCATAGCTGAAGCCAAGCAAAATAATGCTTCTCCAAAAATAAAGAGAAGATGATGAATGAACAACAAGGAAGAACAAAAAATTAACATACAGTACACAAGAGTAAATACAAGCAAGAGTTGGTTGTTAGTCGCCAGCAGCTCCAGACAAACAATGACACTTAAAACTGTCCTGTTACTACAGCTAACATTATAACAACAGCATATCTTGATTCTGTGAAATAGCAACGTTAGTGTTCGCTGATTTGCCAAACGCACGCGAAACACCAGCACCCGCCATTTAATAAAAAAAGCCATGTACACACACAGATTATAGCCTATATATTTACTCCACAAACTCTATGAACATGGAAACAGTGATACATTAACCTCTCAACCTGCTAAGGAGAAAATCCAATGCAACTTTGAGGGGACCAAGTGAAATTATGTATTTCTGCTCAGCTAGCGAGATTGGACATCATCAACCACAAGGCAAACGCTTATACTTTTTCATATACAGTTTACTTTATTTGTATAACAGTTCTATCTAATAAAGTACAGGATTGTTAAACAGATCGTAAACTAATGAAGACGGAGAATGGGAGCGCTGTGTGATAAGGCAAAATAAAAGTCACAACAACAAGCGCGGATTACGTCACTTCAGAGTTCCTACTAACGGTGCGAATGCAACCGCGGGGAACCACCCTGTTGGCGAGTTCCTAGAACTACCCGGTGCGAAAGCCTGTATTGACGCAGGTCCTAAAGCTCTTTAATCATAACCCTTCTTTATCCATTGATATTCCTCTGAGATTTTCTCTTTTGTAATGTCTCTCAGTCATCTCTCTTTCTACAGTTTTTTTCAAATCTCCCTCTTACTCAATCTCTCTCCTCACCTATCATGAGTGGACATGCCCTTGTAAGAAAAAATGATGTGGACATAGAAGATCTCAAAAATGAAGTTTATTACAGCATAGCAGTGGCAAGGTACACGAAGCACCTTGGGTTCACCGGCGTCAGAATGAACCCCGAAAAAATCTCAGCTCAAACATTTTATACTGTATTACATTCGTCTTCCCCCTCAGCATGTAAATGAAGCTCTGTCTTAAATGTAAATTGAGAATAACAAATTCGTCTTCCCTCTCAGCATGGAGGTGAAGCTCTGTCTTAAATGTAAATTGAGGATAACAACAAACAATGGTAGCCCTCTGTGCCCACATCTTTGATATTCTTTCAAATAAGAACGGCCAAATGTTAAGTGATAACATTTATTTGAAGTCCCTGTAATCAAGATGGTTCTCGATTGCCCGCTTCCGCTCCCACACTATAGTTGATAACCATGACTCTGTGATACTATTTACATATTACTGAGATTGGAAGGAATTGTCTCTTATATGTGAAGGAACATTTACATACCGGTATATATATTGGAGTGGAAGTTGGATCGGAGCAGACTATAATTTCTTATACTCTCTACTGCTGATTGGCTACAACTAAGTATGACAACTAAGCATACCTAAATTGCATTATATTAATTTAAAGATAAAACAAAAGCTGTTTGTGTTTTCAACAAGCTTGACGTTCATTAAAGCCATTCAAAATCATCTGTAGGCTGACTCACCCGAATGGGATACAAACCCGCAGGCAACGATCCACAGCAATGGCCAGAAGGGTGAGCACTGATGCCTGTTGCGGGACGATCAGGACACAGCTGAAGAACAGACAGGCATGGAAAGGGATCTTCACGTGGACGTCCACAATCACAGCCAGAGGAATGGCCATGGCCCCGACCAGGAAATCTGCCATCGCCAGAGACACGATCAAGCAGAAAGGGGTTTGGTTCAGGGCTCCGCTCCTCCACACGGCCCAGATCACCAGCACATTGCCCAGACAGCATCCCACAGCGATGAGCACTTCAAGAGAGATGTAAATTATCCCTCCACCTAATACCATTGTGGTTACAGAACTGGAAACAGGACCGTGAGAGTGTTACAAAGAGCTGCTTATTTAAGTAAAGAGGAAATATAGAGGCTATATTTACTCTCTGCAAAAAACTTTCACACCTACAGATCTCCTCCGGAAAAAGACTAATTTTGTGGTTTTAGATGTTCAACCTGTTTTCTTTTTCCGTTAACAAGATTGCATTGCATGTTGATAAAGTCAGTTTAGTCTTGTCTTAATCATGAAAAAAGGTTGTGGATTTTTTCATCATTGATTTTTATCATTTCATCAAAGAAATTTAAATTATTTTAAGAGACTGTTACAGAAAGATTTGTACCTTCATAACGAAGCTTTACAGTCATAATGTACTGCACACACATGTCAATCAAACAACTTCAGATTCTCTATACCTAACAGCTGGTGGCGCTATAGGGTCAGACTGGTGATATTTCACCCAAAAAATTTAACTTAATTTACTAACCTCATGTGGCTCCAAACCTTTGACTTTCTTCATTAAATGGGTATCTATTAAAATATCTTCTTTATGCTATACTATTACTTGAGGTTACTATAAACCTTTGGGGACTCTATATGTCACGGTTCATGAATCCACTGTCTCTCTCTCGTCTCGCGTGTTGTGTGTGTCTGTGGGTGTGTTCTCTGATCACAACTGATTAGCAGCGCCAGCTGTTACCACTTGTTTGTCCCTTTATATGTTCAGTAACTGGTGTCTCATGTTGTCAGATCGTTGTGGCTTCCCGGTGTGTGTTCCCTGTTCCTGTGCTCGTCTTCTGGCTTCCTGGTTGTGGATATGTTTCTTCGTTCTTCGTCATCGTTCTGGATTCCTGCACTGCTTCACTGAGATCACCGTTCACTATCACCGGGTTGCCTGTCGAAGTCCCTGCGCCATCGATCATCTGTGTTTGTGTCCGCCTGACCTACAACTTTCTTCATCTGCTTAATAAAGCACTTTTACTTGCATCTTGCATCCAGTTCTTGTTATTGTTACAGAACGATCTGACCACATCATGGATGCAGCAAGTTCGACAAGTTGGGACGAGTTTGTTTCTCGCAGCATGACACGGATGGATCAACAAGAGGAGAGCATCTCCAACACAGGTCGGGCGGTCCAAGCTCTTGTGGCACAGGTGTCCGAGCTCACCCAACAGCTCCAACATCTGAGGGGTCGCGCTGCGCCACCCACACCGCCCGTTCAGCCCACCCCACCAGAGCCGCATTTCCAGCGCATTTCCAGCGATTCGGAATATTCCAGTTCCGCACCCTGGCCGCAGAGTGCCAATGGAACGAGGAGGCGCAGTGGGACAGATTCCTGGATGGGCTGGCTAACAGTGTCCAGAAGGAGATTTACATGCTGGATCTTCCTCCCAGGTTGAATGGACTGGTGGAGCTGGCGCTGAGGGTTGATGCTCGGTTGAGCAAGATGAGCCGTTTTCATCAGAGTTGTCATTATGGTGGCGCAGAGGACCCCCGCGTCAGCAGTGGGGACACGGTCAGCCCCGTCTTCGATCACGAGCCCATGCAGGTGGGCAGAGCTCGGCTTTCCCGAGAGGAGAGAGAAAGGCGGAGATCCCAAGGACTTTGTTTATACTGCTTCAGAGGTTGCTAGAGAATGGGCTTTTTGTCAAGACGGAGAAATGCGCTTTTCATGCACAGTCTGTTCCTTTCCTAGGATACATCGCCTCGTCTGAGGGACTGCATATGGATCCTGACAAGGTTAAGGCTGTGATAGATTGGCCAAGTCCAGATTCCCGTAAGGCCCTACAGAGGTTTCTGGGGTTTGCCAATTTCTATCAGCGTTTTATACGTGACTTCAGCCAACTAGCCACACCTCTGACTGCCTTGACGTCCCCCAGAATGACGTTCAGGTGGTCTGATACAGCCGAGGCTGTATTCACAAACTGAAAAGCTGCTTTGTTTCGGCTTCAGTCCTTGTTGCCCCTGATCCATAACGTCAGTTCGTGGTGGAGGTCGACACGTCAGAGGTGGCGGTAGGAGCAGTACTTTCCCAACGTTCTTCCACAGACAACAGGATAGATAGATAGATAGATAGATAGATAGATAGATAGATAGATAGATAGATAGCACTTTATTGTCCGTGTACACGGAAATTTGTCTTGCAATACAAGCTCCAACAATTACAACACACACAAGCTAAAAACATAGAGTCATCAATAAAAAATATAAATAGATAATTAAATAATATCATGGGTACTCCACCCTGCAAGAATGTTCTTCAATAGCCATAAATATATATATTAAAGTGCAAGTGGTGGGGAAACTATCCCTTCTTTACTCTCATGTGTTGATTCAGCAGGGATATTGACAGAGGAACAAATGAGTGTTTATATTTGTTTTTTCTGCACTCTGGGACCCTATAGCGTCTCCCAGAGGGCAGGAGTTGATACTTGAATCTTGGGAGATTTTGTCAGCCAGCCTAACAGTATGCAGTACATGGCTTTCAGTGAACGCCTTCTCAACTGAGTGTCCCACCAATTTGGAACAAATTCCCAGGAGCCGAAGAATCCTGGCCTTCAAATGAGCTGAGAGGCCCCCGAACCACACTGCGCCTCCATACTGCAGAATGCTTTGAATTGTTGACACAAAGAAAAGAGACAGGATTTCGCTACTCGCTCTGACTGACCTAAGTCTCCTTAAAAAGTAGATTCTCTGCTGTACTTTGCTGCAGATATAGTCTACATGATAGGTCCAGGAAAGGTCACTGTCCACATGCACTCCAAGCTATTTGAATGATGATTTTTGTTTTATGATTTGATTGTGAATGATTATTGATGCATCCTTGAGCGTTATTGTCCCATCGTTTATCACCTGCCGAGTGTAACTATGACATTGGTAACAGAAAGTTGTTGGCAGTCAAGTTAGCGCTGGAAGAATGGCGTCACTGGTTAGAAGGGTCAGAGGTACCTTTTATCGTATGAACCGATCACAAGAATCTAGAATATATCAGAAGCGCCAAAAGACTCAACTCTAGGCAGGCTCGGTGGGCACTTTTTTTCAGACGTTTTGACTTTTCTCTCTCGTACCGCCCGGGTTCCAAAAACATCAAACCCGACTCTTTATCTCAAATTTTTTACCAATCCGAACGCCCGTCCACTCCCGAGTGCATTTTACCCGAGACTCTAATTATCTCCACACTCAGATGGGAGATCGAATCGAAGGTCATGACGGCCTCAGAAGGGGTAACGCCTCCACCCAATTGGCTTTATGCCACAGCTTCACTACTTCCTGAACTTCAGCCAGCCCTTTGTTTCCTGTCTGTCATTATTGGACAAACTGATTAATCCAGGTGTGCCTGGCCTCAGTCACAATAATCAGGCACACCTGGATTAATCAGTTTGTCCAATAATGATAGACAGGAAACAAAGGGCTGGCTGAAGTTCAGGAAGTAGTGAAGCTGTGCATAAAGCCTATTGTCCACCGAATCGTTTGTTTGTGCCAGCGGGGTATCGGTCTGTCGTCATTCAGTGGGGGGATTGTTCCAACGTGGTGTGTCATCCAGGGGTTAACCGCACCAGTTTTTTGGTAAAGCAACGATTCTGGTGGCCATTAATGGCTCGTGACATTCGCAGTTTTGTCTTGGCTTGCTCGGTTTGTGCCACTGGTAAGACTTCCAATCGACCCCCAGATGGGTTACTCCAACCGCTGTCTGTCCCTTCGAGACCCTAGTCCCACATTGCGCTAGATTTTATTACCGCCCTCCCTGGCACCTTGCATGGCTGACAACGCCGTCGGTGTATGAATGAGTGAGTGAATGGGTGAATGTGAGGCAATATGTAAAGCGCTTTGGTGGCCATTGGGTCTTTGAAAGCGCTATATAAATGCGTCCTTGCCCAAATTACCCTCCGCCAAGGAGACAGCGGTAGCTGTTTTAGATCACGTTTTTCGCTTACATGGACGTGGTTTCTGACAGGGGACCCCAATTTGTGTCCAAATTTTGGCAAGAGTTTTGTAAACGACTGGGGGCGAGTGTCAGTCTGTCTTCGGGGTTTCATCCCCAAAGCAATGGCCAAACCGAGAGAGCCAACCAAGATTTGGAGAGAGTGTTGCGATGTTTGGTTTCCAAGAATCCTTCCTCCTGGAGTCAACAACTCTCAATGGTGGAGTACGCCCACAACTCGTTACCAGTGTCTTCCACGGGCCTCTCTCCGTTTGAATGTAGCTTAGGTTAGCAGCCACCAATTTTTCCCTGTACGGAATCCGAAGTCACGGTCCCCTCCGCTCACGCTTTCGTCCAGAGGTGCCGCCACACTTGGAGCAGAGCCTGTGAGACTCTTCTCTAAGTGGGGGCGCGCACGAAGGCTAAGGCCGATCGCCACCGGTCGAAGCCTCCCGTATACGTCGTTGGTCAATAAGTGTGGCTTTCAACCAAGAACATTCCTCTCCGATCCGTATCTGTCCGGGACAGGGACCTGTCTTGTTGTGGAAATGTTTCTTTGTTCTTCGTCGTCGTTCTGGATTCCTGCACTGCTTCACTGTGATCACCGTTCACTATCACCGGGTTGCCTGTCGAAGTCCCTGCGCCATCGATCATCTGTGTTTGTGACCGCCTGACCTACAACTGTCTTCATCTGCTTAATAAAGCACTTTTACTTGCATCTTGCATCCAGTTCTTGTTCTTGTTACACTATAATGACAATTAATTAGATTCAGTTGTAATCCATGCATACATTTATCCCATGCATGTGCCGAAGTTGAGTAGCAAATATGGCCAAGTCAAAAAAGCTCTTACAAAAGCCCAGAGAAGAAGGCTATGGCTACAAGAACATCTACATCACACTAAAAGTTCCTAGAGACAAATCTGGCTGCATTGTTTATAAGTTTTAAATTTATGGTACCAGAGAAAACCTTCCAGGGAACTTTTTTGGACCCATGGATCAGATGTCAAAAAAGGCTTGACTTATGACCAGAAAAACACTTTCTTCACGGTCAGGACAATGATCCCAAGTAGACATCCAAATCTACCAAAGCTTTGTTCAGGGATCAGTCCTGGCCTGCTCAGTCTCCAGATTAAAATGTCCTTGAAAATCTTTGGTAAGGTTTGAAGAAAGCAGTGGCAGCACAGAAACCAAAGAATATCAATGAGCTGGAAGCTTTTGCACACATGGAATATCCTAAGATTCCAGTAGAGGGTGTCAGAAGCTTGTAAGCGAGAGTAAATTTTTTTAATGCTTTGTTAACAGCAAATAACATAATTTTAACTAATATTATTACATCAAAACATAATATACTTCAGAATACAATCAGTGTTAAGAGAACAGAAAGAAAAAAGAAGAAATAAGGAGAAAGAGGGTACATAACTTCATAGATTCTTATCCAAAAATACAGTTACTTTCAGACTTTGACAGTGGTGTTTGGAGGAGCCCTACTGGCACAACAGGGTAACTGCAATCTGTCAAGTTTAGTTTAGGTCAGAAAAGCTTGAAAGGTTTGAAAAAGCAATATTGCAATTACACTCTAAGAAAATCATATAAATCCCCCCTTCTTTTGGTACGTTTCATGGTACATGGAATAAAGTTAAATGAATGCTATTGACTCCCATCTCTGGACTGATTTTCCCATGAACTCGTCCATCATGGCTGTCTGAGGTATTATTAGCAGGAGCGTTTATATCTGCCTGCTGCTCTTGACCAATCACCCTCCTCCAAATCTTCCTGTACTCCTTCTTAATCTTAGGGACTTTGAAGGCATACACTACAGGGTTAACCATCGAGTTGCCATGAGAAAGGAGAATGCCAAAGTATAAAGCAATGGACGGTACATGTATATTCTGGTTATAGTACGTGATGGCTTGTATCACGTGTAACGGCAGCCAGCAAACAACAAAAAGAGCCAAAACCAAAACCAGAGATCTGGCCAGTTTGTGTTCCTTTTGGTTATATTCACCAGTTTCAGCCGCCACACCTGCTCTCCCCCTCGACTGTCTCATTTTAAGAAAGATATAGCCATACAAAGTAATCATGATTGCCAGCGGAGGAAGAAAACAACACTCATAGATGAAGTGGACCAGGTATGAATCAGGAATGACAGCAGTGAATTGACAGTCTATGGAGGTGGAATTGTAATGTGCCAGTGTGTCATGGTTGTACCATCCCAACATCGGTAAGAAGCCCTGTACGGACGCCAGTATCCAGCACACAGCGGCGAGGATCCAGGTGCGCTTCTTAGTGACTGTAGAATTGTACCTGCCAGAGAGAAATATTTCTTAAAATTAAAGATCTTTGAAAGGTGCAGTCAGTGATTTCTGAGAAACACTGTTGATATTTGAAATCAACCCAATCAAACATGACCCAATCAAACATGCCCCTCCCTTCATTGCTCCGCCCACAATATGCATAAACACGCAATGCAAGAGTGGATGTCTCTTTATCATAGCTGAAGCCAAGCAAAATAATGCTTCTCCAAAAATAAAGAGAAGATGATGAATGAACAACAAGGAAGAACAAAAAATGAACATACAGTACACAAGAGTAAATACAAGCAAGAGTTGGTTGTTAGTCGCCAGCAGCTCCAGACAAACAATGACACTTAAAACTGTCTTGTTACTACAGCTAACATTATAACAACAGCATATCTTGGTTCTGTGAAATAGCAAAACCAATGTTACTCAACGTATGAAGCAGGAACAACGCAACCTCTGCGTTTGTTTTCAGGCCTGCCTGCTTAGGTCTCTCCAGCGCTGGAAAGCTTTTCTAATTTTAGGGGCTTTCGCATCGGAGGAACCTTTTGGCGGAAGTACCTTTTTTGGCATGTTCGCACCGCAGGAACTATGAATGATTTTAGTTCTAGGAACTCCTTTTAGAGGAACTAAATCAGCTCCTACTCCAGAGTCAGGTCTAAACCAGCACTATAGGAACTACCAGTGACGTTAGTGTTCGCTGATTGGCCAAACGCACGCGAAACACCAGCACCCGCCATTTAATAAAAAAAAGCTGTGTACACACACAGATTATAGCCTATATATTTACTCCACAAACTCTATGAACATGGAAACAGTGATACATTAACCTCTCAACCTGCTAAGGAGAAAATCCAATGCAACTTTGAGGGGACCAAGTGAAACATTATTATGTATTTCTGCTCAGCTAGCGAGATTGGACATCAACCACAAGGCAAACACTGATACTTTTTCATATACAGTTTACTTTATTTGTATAACAGTTCTATCTAATAAAGTATTAGACAGGATTGTTAAACAGATCGTAAACTAATGAAGACGGAGAATGGGAGCGCTGTGTGATCAGGCAAAATAAAAGTCATAGCAACAAGCGCGGATTACGTCACTTCAGAGTTCCTACTAACGGTGCGAATGCAACCGCGGGGAACCACCCTGTTGGCGAGTTCCTAGAACTACCCGGTGCGAAAGCCTGTATTGACGCAGGTCCTAAAGCTCTTTAATCATAACCCTTCTTTATCCATTGATATTCCTCTGAGATTTTCTCTTTTGTAATGTCTCTCAGTCATCTCTCTTTCTACAGTCTTTCTTTAAATCTCCCTCTTGCTCACTCTCTCTCCTCACCTATCATAAGATGCCCTCTTACTGCTGGTTGGCTACAACTAAGCATGACAACTAAGCACACCTAAATTGCATTACATTAATTTAAAGATAAAACAAAAGCTGTTTGTGTTTTCAACAAGCTTGACGTTCATTAAAGCCATTCAAAATCATCTGTAGGCTGACTCACCCGAATGGGATACAAACCCGCAGGCAACGATCCACAGCAATGGCCAGAAGGGTGAGCACTGATGCTTGTAGCGGGACGATCAGGACACAGCTGAAGAACAGACAGGCATGGAAAGGGATCTTTACGTGGACGTCCACAATCACAGCCAGAGGAATGGCCATGGCCCCGACCAGGAAATCTGCCATCGCCAGAGACACGATCAAGCAGAAAGGGGTTTGGTTCAGGGCTCCGCTCCTCCACACGGCCCAGATCACCAGCACATTGCCCAGACAGCATCCCACAGCGATGAGCACTTCAAGAGAGATGTAAATTATCCCTCCACCTAATACCATTGTGGTTACAGAACTGGAAACAGGACAGTGAGAGTGTTACAAAGAACTGCTTATTTAAGTAAAGAGGAAATAAAGAGGCTGTATTTACTCTCTTCAAAAAACTTTCACACCTACAGATCTCTTCCGGAAAAATACTCATTTTATGGTTTTAGATGTTCAACCTATTTTCTTTTTCCGTTAACAAGATTGCATTGCATGTTGATAAAGTCAGTTTAGTCTTGTCTTAATCATGAAAAAAAGGTTGTTGATTTTTTCATCATTGATTTTCATCATTTCAAGAATTTAAAACTAGTTTTATACACTGTTACAGAAAGATTTGTACCTTCATATTCATAACGAAGCTTTACAATCATAATGTACTGCACACACACGTCAATCAAACAACTTCAGATTCTCTATAACTAACAGCTGGTGGCGCTATAGGGTCAGACTGGTGATATTTCACCCAAAAAATTAAACTTCATTTACTAACCTCATGTGGCTCCAAACCTTTGACTTTCTTCTTCTGTGAAATACAACAGATTTTTAAATATGAGTCTCAGTGGGGTTTTTTGTACAATGAAAGTTAATGGAGCCTCATGTTATTTTGAACCCATTTTCATTAAATGGGTATCTATCAAAATATCTTCTTTATGCTATACTATTACTTGGGGTTACTATTAACCTTTGGGGACTCTATAATGACAATTAATTAGATTCAGTTGTAATCCATGCATAAATTTATCCCATGCATGTGCCGAAGTTGAGTAGCAAATATCAAAAAAGTCACAAAAAAAAAAAAACTCTTACAAAAGCCCAGAGAAGAAGGCTATGGCGACAAGAACATCTACAGGACACTAAAAGTTCCAAGAGACATTGTTTATAAGTTTGAAATGTATGGTACCAGAGAAAACCTTCCAGGGAACTTTTTTGGACCCATGGATCAGAAGTTTATCTGGCACAAAAAAGGCTTGACTTATGATCAGAAAAACACTTTCTTCACGGTCAGGACAATGATCCCAAGTAGACATCCAAATCTACCAAAGCTTTGTTCAGGGATCAGTCCTGGCCTGCTCAGTCTCCAGATTAAAATGTCTTTGAAAATCTTTGGTAAGGTTTGAAGAAAGCAGTGGCAGCACAGAAACCAAAGACTATCAATGAGCTGGAAGCTTTTGCACACATGGAATATCCTAAGATTCCAGTAGAGGGTGTCAGAAGCTTGTAAGCGAGAGTCAATTTTTTTAATGCTTTGTTAACAGCAAATAACATAATTTTAACCAATATTATTACATCAAAACATAATATACTTCAGAATACAATCAGTGTTACATAAGAGAACAGAAAGAAAAAAGAAGAAATAAGGAGAGAGAGGGTGCATAACTTCATAGATTCTTATCCAAAAAAGTTTAACGAGGAGCACCGAGAGTAAAGGATTCTCTACAAAAATGTACTTTTGGGAATTTTGTATATGGATGTTTATAGGCAGTTTGATTTTTTGAACTCAGTAACATGTTCTCAGAATCACTCAATTGTGTAATAATAAACTTTATATGGTTTACTGATGGCTTAGTTAAAGTGTTTTCATACAATTTTGTTCACAAAACCAGAATGTATTTCAGGTATTGCAAGTGTATGAAATTCCATTTGGTCATTTATAATTATTATAGTGGTTACAGCCCTGCTCATGCTGCTCTGGATGAAAAGGTTTGAGGTCAGTTTTGTGGGTGGATTGCAGTGTGCATTATAAGTGGGAACTGTTTCATAGAAACCAAGAAGTCTGAGATCGAATGAAACTTGCTTAATCCTATTTTTGTTTCCCGGAAAATTGCAAAAGTCACATTTCATTTGCATAGTCATAAAAACATTAAAACAAAACTAAACAAAGGAAACCTTATTATGATATCCCAATGCCAACCCTTTTTTCTTTCTTTTTCAAATCATTACAGTCTGCATGGTCTAGGATCCAGTCGAAAAGGAAAATGGTTTCAGAGGAGGAGAAAATAAACTACATTTTGATAACAGACTTGATTAAACAAGTTTTTCTTCAAAATAAAGTGAACTGATGAATCATGCACAATAAGACCAAGAACGTGCACTTAAGAAAAAATTAAATAGGGTCCGTTTTGATTACCGCGACTCGCGTCTCGCAGGAAACAAGCCAACAACTTCCTGCTTTACTAGACACGAGATTAGCCACAATTTGATGCCGCACGACCACAGCGGTGCCCAACAGAGAAATTAGAGCACATCAAATTTATAGATACAACATACATCCAGAAACTGATATTTTATATATACGTACGGAGTACCGTTCAAAATGCCAGTTCAAAATATATATTTTTTATGTTTTTGAAAGAAGTCCATGCTCAGGCTACATTCATACATTATTTTGATGCATTCAAAAATAGAGTAAAAAACAGTAATATTGTGAAATATTTCTGACAACCTAAAAAATACCTGTTTTCTATTGTTTTATAGGCTACCTCAAAATGTAATTTATTCCTGTGATCAAAGCTGAATTTTCAGCATCATTACTCCAGTCTTCAGTGATCCTTCAGAAATCACTCTAATATGATGATTTGCTGCTCAAGAAACATTTATGATTATTATCAATGTTGAAAACTGCTTCATGTTTTTGTGGAAACTGCGATACATTTTTATTCAGGATTCTTTAATGAATAGGAAGTTCAAAAGAACAGCATTTATTTGAAATAGAAATCTTTTGTAACATCATAAATGTCTTTACCGTCACTTTTGAGCAATTTAATGCATCCTTGCTGAATAAAAGTATTAATTTCCTTCAAAAAAATAAACAACACACTTATAGCATTGCAGCATACAAGCCACTCAAAAGTACTGATCAAGCAAAAAATCTTAAGTGTGTGTGTGTGCATATTTGGTTGTGTGTGAGAGAGTGAAGACAACTTCCTATTTTAACCACGACCATTTCATGCAAGTTCCTGTAGAGTTCTTGTGCCTTTAGTCTCCACCATGGCTGATGGTGAGAAGGTGATCTATACCTCTCTGGAGGTGCTCATCGCTGTGGGATGCTGTCTGGGGAACGTGCTGGTGATCTGGGCCGTGTGGTCGTGTCGAGCCCTGAGTCAGACCACGTTCTGCTTCATTGTGTCGCTGGCGCTGGCTGATTTTCTGGTGGGGATGGTTGCTGTGCCTTTCGCAGTGATAGTTGATGGACGGCTGAAGACTAGTTTCCACTGCTGCCTCTTCATCAGCTGTGTGGTCATTGTGTTGACCCAGGCCTCCGTTCACTCCTTGTTGGCCATCGCTGTGGACCGATACCTGCGTGTTTATAAGCCTCTCAGGTTTGAACATTTAATTGTCATGTTGCTTCATATTGAGAGCCAAATTGATCAAGCTTACTGATAAGGAGGAAATCAAACCTAAGCATTTCTCAGAAATGATGCATACTTGTTTTTATCACACTGAATAACAAGAACTTCTTTAGGTGTGAAATGGACCGCCTTTGCATGTGTGTATCATAAATGTTAAAAATTTATTTATTCTTTAATCTGCAATCAAAATAGCTCACTCTGCCTCTAAAAAACAACGTTCTGTTTTGCCTGACATCATCATGTTGCCATTGACCTACACAGAAAACTACTGTAGCAAACACAGAGCTGGCCAAGATTTTCCTCAACAAGGAAAATTGGAGCACTTGTGGTTGTGTTTTAGACATTTTGCTCCCGAATAGTTCCAGAATGTGACATAAAAGGGTTAGTTCACCCAAAAATTACAATTCTGTCATCAATTATATACCCTCATGTCGTTCCAAACCCGTAAGACTTTCGTTCATCTTCAGATCACAAATGAAGATCTTTTTGATGAAATCTGAGAGATTTCTGTCCCTCCACTGACAGCTATGCAACTGGCACTGACACTTCAAAAAGCTTATAAAGAGATTATAAAACTAATCCATATTAATTGAGCGGTTTAGTCCAAAATTTCTGAAGAGACTCGGTCACTTGATATGATGAACAGATTGAATTTAGGCTTTTATTTACAAATAGAACATTTTCCAAATAGACTAATTTTCATTTTTGGGTGAACTATCCCTTAAATAGGGTTCACTGAACAAATGAAGTAAAACATGAAATCATAATTCTGATTTACTTTTATAATATGATTTTTAAGTATTGAAATACTGCACTTTTCATGATGTAATTATTTGCCAAATATCAAGCGTATAGTGTCAGTTCTGGCAGGTCACGTTAGTCAAGCTCGCATTAGCTGACTCTCAACTGATCCACATAGGACGTATATCACAGTGTAGCCTACATATATAAGCTCATCAGTATTATCAGCAGCTATCGTGTTTCTCAGGAGCCAATTACCCTCCTCCATCCCCAGCTCCTCCTCTCGCCCAGTCAACATTTGCAATTCTGATTCCCCTTGAATCAGAATAAATTCTCGAATTATGTTGTACTTACAAATCTTGAATTAAATATATCTGCATACAAACATGTTGGTTCTGTTCTGTTTACCCTAAGGGGGGTTATTGCTGCTCTTATCCATGCTAGGCTGCATGGATGCACAGGGAGTTCTTGCCCAGAATAGAACCATACCACCAATCCAAACTGTCAATCGTATTTGACAATAGTGATCCTGACAGAAATATAATCTTAGTCAACAACAGTGCAAAAATATATATAAAATTAATTAAATTAAGCAATTTTCAACATTGATAATAATCAGAAATGTTTCTTGAGCATCAAATCTTCAGCATATTAGAGTGATTTCTGAAGGAGTAATGATGCTGAAAATACAACCTTGCCATCAGAGGAATAAATTAGTTTTTTAATTATTACATTCAAATAGAAAACAGTTACATTAAATTGTAATAATACTTTGTTATATAACTGTTTTTACTGTATTTTTGATCAAATAAATGCAGCCTTGGTGAGCAGAAGAGACTTTTAAAAAGAAAAATCGGTAACATTACAATAAGGTCTCATTTAATAACATTAGTTAATGAATACAATTGTTACAGTGTTTATTAATCTTTGTTAATGTTAGTTAATAAAAATACAGTCAATCATTGTTTTTTCATGTTCACAGTGCATTAACTTATGTTAAAAAATACAACTTATACAAACAATGTATTATTAAATGTTGAAATTAACATTAACTAAGATTAATAAATGCTTTAAAAGTATTGTTCATTCTTAGTTCATGTTAACTAAAGTTGTTAACTAACATTAAAGTGATAGTTCACCCCAAAATGAAAATTCTGTCAGTAATTACTCTCCCTCATGTTGTTCCAACCCCGTAAGACTTTCGTTCATTTTCGGAACACAAATTTGTGGTTAAATCTGAGAGCTGGATCACTCCTCCATAGGCTTCTTAAGGGATCGAAACTGGCCGGCCCAAAAGTTATGAAAGACATCGTTAAAATAGTCCGAGTGAATACAGTGGCTCAATCTTAAGTTTATCTTGCGACGAAAATACTTTTTGTGCGCAAAAAACAAACAAAAATAACGACTTTATTCAACTACCGTAAAACTTAAAAAAGCCCGGGCTTTTATTTTCCCAAATCGTCGAACTGCACCGGCTTGTATTTGAGACAAGTGTCTATATGAGACAGGCCTTTATAATTTAGTGTTGAGATGTTGTTCACTGAGTCTATAGGCCTAGAATCTCTAATCTCTAAACATCTCCAAATGCTCCATGTAAAACTGCGGTTCTCCAACCTTTTACTATCGTGTCAATTGATTTTGATAAATATGCGCGAGGGAGCGAGAGCAAGACAGCGCTTGTGTTGTTTGAAGACGTGAGAGTGCGCGCGCGCGGCTGGGGCTCTCTCTCTCCCTACTCGTTATGCGCCCTGCAAGCAGCAGTCATTCTATTCTACATCACTCACCGATCAAAAAAGGCTTTGCAGGACAAAAATATGCTTTGGGGCCTCCAAAAAGCGGACGATCTGACAGGTTTTAGAAGATTAAGGGTGTATTCACACCAGGAAAGTCCGATAGTTCACTTGCTTTGGTCCGGACCAATAATTTTTTTTTTTTGGTACGGTTCGCTTTCAACTACCTGAATAATATAAAATTCATAGACAATTGGAAAAGTTTTTGGGGCAAGCCTGATCTGTTGAAAAGAGATGGTATCCATCCCTCCTGGGCTGGTGCTGCTCTTCTCTCTAGTAATTTGGCTCATAGTCTTAGAGATAAAACATGACAATCTGGGGCTCAGGTCAGGAAGCAGACAGACTGGCTAAACCGACCGTCTGCTAGCGGCCTCATGTCACCAAGGTCAGATAAATCCCATCACATAGAGCCTCTTTCACCTAGATATCATCATATAGAGACTGTGTCTGTTCCCCCAATTTGGAAATCCAAAAAACGTCAGGTTAAAAATTTAATTGATGTTCAACAAATAAAAAACAGATATAATACAGATGAGCAAATGATAAAGCTTGGCTTGCTGAATATTCGATCCCTTACTTCAAAATCTCTCATAGTTAATGATATGATTTCAGATTATAATCTTGATATGCTGTGTTTGACAGAAACCTGGCTAAAACCAAACGATTACATTATTTTAAATGAGTCAACCCCACAAGATTACAGTTATAAAAATGAACCTCGTCTGAAAGGCAAAGGGGGAGGTGTTGCTGTAATTTATAGTAATATTTTCAAAACCACTAAGAAATGTAGCTTTAAATATACTTCTTTTGAAGTATTGGTGCTTAATGTAAAAATATATAGTGTAAACGATAAATCACATTTGAGAATTATGCTGGCTACTGTGTACAGGCCACCAGGGCACCATAAAGATTTTATCAAAGAATTTGCGGACTTTCTATCAGATTTAGTATTGGCTGCAGATAAAGTACTAATTGTTGGTGATTTTAATATACATGTAGATAATGAAAAAGATGCTTTGAGATTGGCATTTAAAGACATTGTAAACTCAACTGGAGTTAGACAACACGTGTCAGGACCTACTCATTGTCGTAATCATACTCTAGATCTAATATTATCACATGGAATGGATGTTGATGCTGTTGAAATTCTGCAGCAGAGCGATGACATCTCAGATCATTATCTAGTCTCATGTAAATTACATTTAGCCAAGGCTGCAAAGCCGACTCCGTGTTATAAATACGTTAGACCTATAACTTCTGCCACTAAAGATTGCTTTATCAATAATCTTCCTAATCAGTTTCATCATCTCAGCATCCCGGATAGCTTAGAAGAACTTGATATTGCAACAGAAACGTTTAACTCTCTCTTTTCCAGCACTTTAGACGCAGTTGCTCTGTTGCGCTTAAAGAAGATTAAAGAAAATAGTCCAATGCCGTGGTACAGCGAGCACACTCAGGCCCTTAAGAGAGCAGCCAGAAAAATGGAACGAAACTGGAAGAAAACTAAACTAGAGGTATTTCGGATTTCGTGGAAAGAGAGCTCGATTGCTTACAGAGAGGCTTTAAAAGCTGCTAGATCTGCTTATTTTTCAAACCTATTAGAAGATAATCCATAAACATAATAAAATAAACATAATCCTAGGTATTTATTTGAAACAGTGGCTAAACTAACGAAAAAGAAAGCTTCAAGCTCAGAAGTGTCAAAGCAACACGGCAGTGATGACTTTATGAACTTCTTCACTTATAAGATTGATAATATCAGGGACAAAATTATAACTATGCAACCGTCTACCACAGTATCGCATCAGGAAGTGCATTGTAGTCTCCCTGAGGAAAAATTTGATTTATTTGTTGCTATAGGAGAGGAAGAATTCTGCAAACTCGTTAATTCATCTAAATCGACAACTTGTATGTTAGATCCTATACCGACTAAGCTACTGAAAGAGATGTTTCCAGAGGTCATATATCCTCTTCTTAATATCATTAATTCATCTTTGTCTCTAGGATACGTACCAAAAACCTTTAAACTGGCTATGATAAAACCGCTTGTTAAAAAACCACAACTTGATCCTACAGAATTAGTCAATTACAGGCCGATCTCGAATCTGCCTTTTCTGTCAAAGATATTAGAAAAAGCAGTATCTTCACAACTATGTTCCTTTCTAGAAAGAAATGATATCTGCGAGGATTTTCAGTCCGGATTTAGACCGTACCATAGCACTGAGACCGCTCTCATTAGAGTCACAAATGATTTGCTCTTATCATCCGATCGTGGTTGTATCTCTCTATTAGTGTTACTCGATCTTAGTGCTGCATTTGACACCATTGACCACAACATTCTTTTAAATAGACTAGAAAACTATGTTGGCATTAGTGGAATTGCATTAGCATGGTTTAAATCATACTTAACTGACCGTTATCAGTTTGTAGCAGTAAATAAAGAGATGTCTTATCGATCACAAGTTCAGTATGGCGTACCACAAGGCTCAGTACTAGGACCGCTGCTGTTCACTCTGTACATGCTACCATTAGGAGATATCATTAGGAAACATGGAGTTAGCTTTCACTGTTATGCCGATGATACTCAGCTGTATATTTCTTCAAAACCCAACGAAACTTACCAATTCACAAAATTAACGGAATGCATAGCTGATATAAAAAATTGGATGACTAGTAATTTCCTACAACTAAATTCTGAAAAGACAGAGATTCTAATTATTGGACAAAAAACTTCCACACGTAATAACCCAGAATACTGTCTAACACTTGATGGCTGCTCTGTCAAGTCTTCGTCGTCGCTTAGGAACCTGGGTGTGCTATTTGATACCAACCTTTCTTTTGAAAGCCACGTGTCTAGTATCTGTAAAACTGCATTTTTCCATCTTAAAAATATATCTAAAATACGCCATATGCTCTCATTGGGAAATGCGGAACAATTAGTCCATGCGTTCATGACCTCAAGGCTAGATTATTGTAATGCTCTACTGGGTGGTTGCCCTGCACGCTTAATAAACAAACTACAGCTAGTTCAAAACGCCGCAGCTCGAGTTCTTACCAGAACCAGGAAATATGACCATATTAGCCCGGTTCTGTCAACACTGCATTGGCTCCCTATTAAACATCGTATAAATTTTAAAATATTGTTGATTACCTACAAAGCACTAAATGGTTTAGCTCCGCAGTACTTGAGCGAGCTCTTAACGCATTATAGTCCTTCACGTCTATTGCGATCTCAAAATTTCGGCCAGTTGATAATACCTAGAATATCTAAATCGACTGCAGGCGGTAGATCCTTTTCATATTTAGCACCAAAACTTTGGAACAGTCTTCCTACCAATGTCCGGGAAGCAGACACACTCTGTCAGTTCAAAGCTAGACTAAAAACACATCTCTTTGACCTAGCATACACATAATACATTATAGACTTCTATAAATTCAATGTTAGGCTGCATAGATTAGGTCAGCCGGAACTGGGAACACTTCCCTTAAATCTTGATGTACTCGCTACATCATAAGAAGAATGGCATCTACGCTAATATTAGTGTCTTTGTTTATCCCGAGGTTTTCCCGCAGCCTGCCGGATCCAGGCAGTGTCCAGATCTGACGAGGGAGCTTTGCCTGGACCCGATGACAATGCAGTGCTGAAGTATCCACTATCCTCTCCCTATGGAGGATCCCTTTCCCACTCTACAGATAAAGCGTTGGGAATTCCGGCTCGCGTACCCCGAAGTGATAAAATAAAACAAAATTCTGTATCAAAATTTATAGGCAAGAAAAGTAGTTTGTTTAGGCTGGGTTGTATGAATTACAAACCTGCGCACATATTTTAAAAAGCACACAACTATAGAATTCTGAATGAGCATGTGAACGCCGTCAGCGTTAATCACAGGTTCGCGTTTAAAGTCTGATCATTTCGACGGAGGTGAATCAAAGTTAACTTTAGCTGGAAGTAACATTATTCAAGAACCGCTATAACGCCAAAACAATCTGTTACCTTAAATTATATGTTTATCTCTGTAAAGCTGCTTTGAAACAATCCATTGTTAAAAGCGCTATATAAATAAAGATGACTTGACTTGACTTTCACACTGCTCTTTTTGCAAGTGAACCAAAATTGGCAAACAAAACCACACGTGTGCTAAGGTCGTCCATTCATTGGACAATGATTCTCAAGTAGGGAAATCAGGAAGTGCAAAAAAGGCTCAGCATGGAGATATTTCGTACTGCAATATTTGTTATTTGACTAATTTTGTGTTATTCTGTACAAACGCAATATGAAGAAACTGCGCAGAAGACGGATAAGGTATAAAGTTTTCATTCATAGAGAGTGGGGCTATGTTCACACATTCAAATAATGAGATTCTTATTGTATATACTGCTAACAAGTGCTGTCAATGATAACGCTTGAAGTTTGTCCAGTTTAACGCAGCGTCATCCTTTTATTGTAACTATCGTTACATTATATGAACTGCAAAAGCTTTTTTTGCATCTATGCGCGATTAGACTAGAGAGAACGCTCTGTGTGTGAATGTCCTGATGCACACACTCATTCATTCATTCCATTCCAATGATGCACACACACGACGCGCAGAAAGACGCGCGACAGTATCGTGTGGCCAGACAGCGCGCCGGAATGGAATTCTCTTTCGCACTTGAACAACAATTACACAAACCATTATGCCAAAATCTCCGACTACGGAAGCCTGTTAACTCAAAGGCGCAGTGCTTTCTTGCAATTGGGTCGGTTCATGTTCACACCGTAAACGAACCGTACCAGAGTTCGTTTGGAAGCGTACCGAGACCACCTCTTCAGCTGGGTCTCGGTTCGGTTGTTTGGTCCGCACCCGAGTTCGATTGCTGTATTCACACCTGCCCAAAAGGTCCGCACCAAGGGGGGAAACGAACTAGAGTTCGATTCAATCGAACCAAACAAGGCAGGTGTGAATACACCCTCAATACAACCCGAAACTAAAAAACTTTATTTACCCAAACCTGCAGCCACACCAGGCGTGTAAAAGAGACAGGCGTCTATTTGGGACTCGGCTGTTATTTGAAGTTTTACGGTATTAATTTCCCTCTCTGTGGGCCTCGAGTTAGTTCACGTAGTCTAACTGCACAGCGCTTCTGGTTGTACGTCACACGTAGGCTTACTATTGGCTAATGCTGGTCATGTGTGTGATGCGTGTGACGTACAAGACAGAGACAGCTCTCAGATTTAATCCGAAGATGAATGAAAGTCTTACGGGGTTGGAACAACATGAGGGAGAGTAATTACTGACAGAATTTTCATTTTGGGGTGAACTAACCCTTTAACTGATGAAACCTTACTGTAAAATCTTACTAAACCCAAACTTCTGAAAGGTAGTGTGAATATATTTGTATATAAATACATACATACATGCACAGTACCGCGCTGAAGATATATAAAGATTTCTCATTGATTTTCAGGTACAGAGGATCAGTCAAAAAGCAGCATTTGTGGGCCGCGGTCACTGTATGTTGGCTCTCTGCTTGTATACTAGGCTTCATGCCCATGTTCGGATGGCACAACGAAGACACCACAACAAGAGAAAACACCACTATTACATGTCATTTCATCACGGTTATACCCATGACGTATATGGTCAACTTCAACTTCTTCGCTTGCATACTGCCACCCACCATCATCATGATGGCCCTGTATTTGTTACTCTTCAATATGATATCCAAACAGCTGAGAAAGGAAGTCGGGCGCCCCGTGGAGTCCAGGTCGTATTACCGTAAGGAGCGGAGACTGGCCAATTCTCTGGCTTTGGTGCTGGTTCTGTTTGCCGTTTGTTGGATCCCGCTGCACATAATGAACACGCTTGAGTATTACAACATTGTCAAAGTGCCCGCTGTCGCCTTTCACATCGGCATCCTCTTCTCTCACGCCAACTCCGCAGTTAACCCCATAGTGTATGCTTTTAAGGTCCCTAAGATTAAGAAGGCATATAAAAGCATCTTGATGAAGCTGACAAGCACGGAGCAGAGGGAAGATCAGAGCAGCCAGACTTTGGAAAATAATGCCAGCAGCAACTCAAACAGCATCGTCAGGTGTACCATGAAAATAAACCCACAGGTGGTTTTAGCCACCAATCACAACGGTTAGCATGAGTCTGTTCTCATGCACAAGAAGTAGGGAGACCAGGACTATAATTACACAGACAAAAGTTCAATTATACAAATCGGCTGCCGCTTTTGCATAGTTTATGCTTGCTATTTAAAAATTATTTGAAACTTTCCTATCTGGCAGCTCCAGGAAGATGTATCTTGAACAATGTATAAGCCTTAATTAAACAATTTAATAATCAATTAAAAAGGAATTTACTGTGTGATATTACGCTGCACCCACATTGGACCCGTGGTTTGGAAAATAGATGGATGGAAACTGTTTGATGATTCTGGCAATGAATTTCAGGAGGTAGAACAGGTCTATTATTACAATCAAAATCACAGTTTACAGACGTCTTGTTAAAACTGCAATGACAGGGTGTAAGAGAGTACACATCACTTCAATTCATTTATGAGTCATTGGTTCTTAAGAATGCAAAGACAATAGTGAGTGATTCAAGCCATGTTTTATTGCCAATGTCTCAACTTCTGCCATCAGGAAAGCATTATAGAGTCCCACTTTGTAAGAGAAACGGTTAAGAAAAAATAATCTATACCTGTATCTATTAATATTTTAAATAGCAAGATTTAGTCATTGTTATATTATTATTTCCCCTTTAATGTTGTCGCGTGTTGTGTGTGTGTGTGTGTATGTTGTGTACTACTGCAGCTTTGGGTTCAAGACAAAGTATACAAGTATACTCTACTAATGGTAGTGTTAAATTAATATAGTGAAATAAATGTTTGATTTTAGTTATTTGATGTGCGTCTCACGTGCTATCATTTAAATCCATCAAACATCTGCAGCTCTGCTCTCTAGATATTGACCTCGGTCATATAAATAAACACGGGTTTCAAGTCATGTCATGTCCACATATTGAAGGAGGAAGAGAAAGTCATTCTGAGCATGCAAATATTTTTGCCATATGTGCAGCAGCATGTCAGAGCATCCACATCCTTCCTTCATAACTTCATAAATGCAAATTCTGTCATCATTTACTCACCCCCATGTCACTCCAAAATCGTATGGCTTTATTCTTCTGTGAAAGATGATGTTTAGAGGAACGTCCATGCAGAGTGCTCTTTTTCATAATGGGATCCGAGCTCTGAAATAAAAATCATAAAAACACATTTTAAGTATCTATGATATCTTGCTTGTGATTAACCCTTTCATGCATACAGGTCACTACAGTGGAGAGCTAATAAAAAGCCATTTCTTTAATATGTTTTGATGGCATTGTTGCACATTAACCACTACAGCGGACTCTAGTGCATCATCCAGTGCTTAAGTATGTGGAATATTTTTTCTCCAAACCAAGATTGCCAATGGTCAGTCAGAAATGCCAAGTTGCTGTGGAATATTTATCCCTTCCTTCTATCCTAGGGGACAGGTAGGATCTTGCAGGTAAAAAAAAAATGACATCAAGTAACATCTTAGGAGTCACATCATTGTTAAACTTTCCAAGTATTGATTTTAGATTGGGAGGAAATTCTGATTAATTGTCTGTCCACTAAATTGGACATAATGCATCACTATTCATACTATTACTGTGACTGTTGTTCTTTTAAATACTTCATCTGCAGTAACTTTTTTTGGCTAAATAAAAGTATGTGTTATTAGATTCAATAGATTGTAATTTGCAGTTAATAAAAAAAAATGAATTTGATTACATAATGTTACATGTAATGCATTACTTGTTACATCAGAAAAGTAATCTGATTACGTTATGCAAGTTACCTGTAATAGTCTGAGTTAGGTTTTCTACAGAGTTGTACCTCCAGTGGAGGATCTATATTAGATATATTTCTTTCATGTCATAACACTTTTTTTAGAAATCCTTTAACTTTGTTTACCTCCAGGTTTAAATCCAATTTTCATTGTGTTGTTAGATGTTTGGACTCGTTGTATATTAGATTGGACGTTGCCTCTGTCAGGAGCTTCCCTAGTCTCTCCATAATGGATTTACTGGCATCGGGCCAAGTGGAAGTGAACAGTGTTGATCCCCGAGGGGAACGTTTGGAGCGTATCTCTGGGAGGAGAACTGGATGTCTGAAAGATACGTCTCAGGCCATTTTGTTCTTTCCCTGTACAGCGCAATATCGGCCTAGGTCCAAACAACGTGGATTTATGATGTTCATCTCCTACGTTCTTATTTTTTCTAACATAGCTTGAGTTCATTCTGCTGATTGAGGTTGAAAAATGTACAATATACCTTTTGGCACTGCATTGAAAAGCAATATCCAAATCAATTCTCATCAGCGGCTCGAAAACCAGGGGTTATGAAACCACACATCGAAACGCCGTATTTAATTTGATGCAAATGACAACAGCTGAGAGAGAGAGAGAGAGAGAGAGAGAGAGAGAGAGAGAGAGAGAGAGAGAGAGAGAGAGAGAGAGAGAGAGAGAGAGAGAGAGAGAGAGAGAGAGAGAGATGTACAGCCAGCTCGATGTGCTGTTGCCACCCGTATGTATCAGACAATAATGTTCATTAGATCATTAAAAATAAACCCGACAAAGCTCTGAAAAACTTATATATAGTGTATATATAGTGGCCAGCCTTCCCGTGCTTGAACGCCATTGGCTATTGCAGGTGCAATAGCGTGATTCAATCAGGCATCAGCATTTTGGAGAAAGGGAGTTTCCCCATCGTGTCAGCTCAGACGCAATGTGGGCTCCCTTGTAAAAGAGATTTGAATATCTCAACTGGACATCACCTGGTAAAATAAAGGATAAATAGAAATAAAAAAATGTGAGAGAACTATCTCGAAAGGTAAAAATGTCGAGAGACCTATCTCAAAAAGGAAACTCCTTTATAAAGGTTTTGAGTAGAGAGGAAACTCTGGTCGGTTTTGTGGAACTTGTCTTTAATGTTATCTAGGTTGCTACACTCTAAAAAATGCTGGGTTGTTTCAACCCAAATTTGGGTCAAATATGGAGAAACCCAAATGTTGGGTTAAAAATGTCATTAAAAAAATTACAGTTGAAAGTGAAAGTTGGGTTAAAATTGTAAATAAAATTTTTAACCCAACATTTGGGTTTGTCCATATTTGACCCAAATTTGGGTTAAAACAACCCAGCGTTGTTAAGAGTGTAAGGGCTTGATAATATCACCGCCACAATGCTAGCGTTGTGAATGGTTGATGGAGAAGATATCAGGGCATTGCTATGTGGTTGCTTGCTTGCTCAAATCTCGCAGCCAGTCATACTGTTGTGAATGGTTACTAGGAATTCTGGGTAGTTGCTAGGGGTGATGCTTTATGGTTCCTTTTTTGCGTTAATCTTACCATCATGATGTTATTGTTGTCAATGGTTGCTATGAATTCTGGATATTTGTTAGGGTGATGCTATGTGGTTGCTTGCTCAAATCTCCCACCATGTTGCTATTGTTGTTAATGGCTGTTAGGGAATCTTGTGTAGTTGCTAAGGTGTTGCTATGTAGTTCTTAGGTGGTCGCGAAGGGCTTGCTTGCTTTATTCTCACCGCCATGCTGAGCTGTGAATGGCTGTGTTTTTATGTGTTCTTTGCTTAAATCTCAACACCATGATGCTATGTGAACGGTTGCTATGGAATTCTGAGTAGTTGCTAGGGTGTTCTGTGTGGTTGCTTATTTGAACACTGAGGTCTCTGTGATATTCCAGTGTCTCGGCTGGGTCTCTCCTTCAGTGTAAGCTAATGCCATGCCCTTTATATGAGTACAATAGTTTGTGTTTAATTGCAGACATTATTAGAGCACTTATCTGACGTAAACAGATTCATTATTGCTCTATGCATCATTCTGGTTGTGCGTGGCACATTTACTACTTACCGCTCAAGTCAATAGTGCTATGGGGCAGTCCAAAGCGCCCCTTGTGCTTGATACGATGATCTCTTTCAATTAGATGACAGCATACGTCAACAACAACTCAGGGCTTTATGGTTCTCTAGTCACTCGTCTCTGGAAAACTGCACAGACGGTTATGCTTGTTGAGAAGTCCCAACCAATAGGATTGCATAATGCTTTTCAGATTGTATTTGCAATATTACTTACCCGTTTTACCTATTGTAACTTGTCCATCATATGCAAACAAAGGTCAAGACTAGAAACAGCCTTGTATTAGGTTTGACCGCTAAGAAAAGTAATAGCACAACCTCACTTCAACACAAATGATGCTGGACTAGTCATTAATCCAGAGCAATAGAGTGCAACAGTGCCCGCCCCCTATTTCATTTTTTCCATAGAGAATTTAAAATAGTCTTCGTTAAATAGTTATAAACCATGAACTAAGCCGATCAGCTAAGAGGTGAATCACAACAAACTTTGATTTGCAGCGAAAACGTTTTTGAAAATCGGACAAAAAGACAAAAGGTACCAGACTGTGTACTTAACTGCTTTAGAGAGCATAAACTGCTCATTTATGAATGTTCATTATATGTATAAAAACAATTTACTTTAAGTTTATTGCAAAATATGCATGACATTTCAGTATTTTGAGAGCATGGGGAGATCAAATCGATTACATCATTCGCAGTGCTGTTTTGGAGCTTGTTGCTTTTTTCGACTCTCTGATTGGTGTATTTCTGTACAGCATAATGGGTAATGTAGTTTTTCACCAGGAATTGCACTGTTAATCGGGATTATTTAAAAAATAATATGACGTCTTCAGCAGAAACAAATACCATGGATTAACAATCTTTTACCTCACAGTAGGTCTGTCTCATCATTCAAAATCAGTTTCCTTTTGGAGAAAATAAATTGAGTTTTTACTTCCGGAACCAAACTGTTGCACTCTATAGCTTGACTTAAAAAAAATATCATTAATAATAGTAAATCTAAAAAGTACTGCATTTCTTTGGAATGACATTTAGGTGTCTGCAACATCTTAATGGAATGAAACTAATCAAAGAGATTGCCTTATTAAGAGATCCTTTCAGAAAAGCACAAGAACAGCATTTACTTCAAACATCACTGCGCTAGACCGCCTTAAAATGCTTGAACATCCAAAGAGAACATTGTAGAAGTTCTTGGCAAGGTGGCACGCCATTTAATTTCATTATGACACAGCTGGCTTGAATACTTGATTTTGATTGGTCGATCGTAACATTCTAAATCAGGGTTTCCTTGAGTTGATGAAAATAAAAAGCATAACATTTTAAAATTAAAATATAAACAAAAAATAAAACACAAACAAATACGAATTATTTAGTTTACCTCCATGTCACGTGACCATTAACCGACATTAGAGACCAATCCAATGCAAATATGCTGTGTAATTATTGAAATTAGTAATGAGATCTCTTTAATGCCTCAGTTGTATCGTCTAGACAACTATATTAAATGGAGACTAACTTAAGTCTCATGTTACCCCCAGTGATCTCACATGTGTCTCTTGTTTCAGAAGAAATCTCAATAATATTACAAACTTGTGCTCAGATTTACAATGATCTCATTTCTGAACAAATTCTCCCACAAAGAAATCTGAGCTATGCTATCCACTTTCATTTATATTTATTATATTTTTATTCTCCAAGGAGCATTTTGTAGACACATCACAGAAAAAGCTAATATTGCAATGAAGCATAGGCTAAGTGAGAATTCCTCTGAGCTCTGAAAGTGCAATAAGATCTTCGTCTGTGTTATGACTCAAAAAGGAAACCTTAATTCTGCATGAGAGGACTTAAATAGACATGATAACCACATAATGCTGAGGAGCCTAGGGAACAAGATGAAATGATCATGGTAGACAAGTGCTTCCCTCAATACTGAGACGAATCCATTAGCACAATACAATGAACATTACTGAAAAATTAATTTGATGAAGATGATGTCCGATTTCCTGGGTAGAAACATTTAAATATCAAATTATGTCTCTCTCCATGCAGTGAGAGAAAAACAAAGCAATAGAGGCAGGAAACAGAGGATTCTGGGATGCATGCATGTGCCTAATTCAGAATTAAATACAATTTTGACAAGAGTGTGAATTTTAATTGAATTAGCCACAACCCACAGGATGTTGAATAGGAATTTTAACTGGAATGACAGGAAAAGGAATTTAAGGAACAGAAATGAGATGATATTTAAGAAAATGGACATAAACAGATGACTTTCTACATGTGTTTGTTTAAGTTTTACCGTTCCAAAGAAACGGAAATTAATACTTTTATTCAGGAGGATGCATTAAATTGATCAAGAGTGACAGTGAAGTGACATTTATAATGTTACAATTATTTTTATTTCAAATAAATGCTGTTCTTTCGAACTTTCTATTGATCAAAGAATCCTGAAAAAAAAAAAAATCACAGTTTCCACAAAAAATATGAAGCAGCACAACTGTTTTCAACATTGATAATAATCAGAAATGTTTCTTGAGCAGCAAATCATCATATTAGAGTGATTTCTGAAGGATCATGTGACACTGAAGACTGGAGTAATGATGCTGACAAATTCAGCTTTGATCAGAGAAATTAATTACATTTTAAAATGTATTTCAAAGGAAAACAGCTTTTTTAAATTGTAATAATATTTCACAATATTCCTGTTTTTACTGTATTTTTGAATGCATCAAATGTATGAATGTAGCCTGGGTGAGCATAAGAGACTTCTTTCAAAAACATACAAAATGTTACAATTAAGAATTAAATATGTTACCGACCTGAAACATTGAACAGTACTGTATATAAAATATCAGTTTCAGGAAATAAACAGATAGGCTAATTAATTACTAATGTAAATTAATATCCATTTATTTCCAGAAACTAAAACAAAAATACTCATTTTTGGAAATAACCCATTTGTTGTGTGTATGAACATATGCATGGTTAATTCTTTCTTACAATGAAATGTATTGTAAAAAAAAAAAAAATCACACTTACAGCAGAGTTTTGTTCCATTTAAATTCTACTTCCTCAATTTAAATTCAAATCACAATTCCGTACTCTGATTGCGACTTCAATTCAACTTCAAAAGGCATTCTAAATTAAATTCTAAATGGCACAACTGGTGTTTCAGGTTTGGAAAGTGTAGGAAAAGAGAGATAGTGAGAGAGAAATGGTGAGCGAGGCGAGCAGTGGTGCAGAGAATGAACCACCCCTCCCTTTCCCAGCCAGCAGAGCCTCCGCAACAGAAGCAGAAGCAGGAGTTTGTGAAGATGCAGAGAACAAGGCACACGGCAGCTCAAAGTAACTATAGATAACATGGATCTGCTATTGTCTATTGACAAGTCAGGCCAGTTCAGCTACTACCAGTAAGAAAGACTTCATTACGAGACAACTATAAAGACTGAGAAATATAATAAAATGAGAGAACATACCAGCATTTGAGGACCTCTTGTAGAAGACCCAATGGAACAGGAACAACTGCTACAGATGACGAAGATGTCAACGGTCACAGTAACTGAGAGTTGGGAGAAAGCGGACCTGATGTACATCTCCATCGAGAGCACTATCGCCCTGGCATCGGTGCTTGGGAACGTGCTGGTGGTCTTGGTGGTGTGCATGAACCAGGGTCTTAGAGACCCGACCTTCTGCTTTATTGTCTCTCTGGCGCTGGCCGATATAGCGGTCGGCGTTCTTGTCATTCCGCTTGCGGTGGTCATCAGCCTGGGTCTCACCACACAGTTTTACACTTGCCTCTTCATCTCGTGCCTTCTCGTCATCATCACCCAAAGCTCCATACTGTCCCTGCTGGCCATCGCCATCGACCGATTCCTGCGCGTCAAAATCCCCACCAGGTGAGTCTGAAACACTTACTGATTAAAGATTCAATATTTGACATTTAATAATACTTAATTACAGCATAAAAAGTGTGTATGTTTACCTGTATATGTCATGTGACCATTAACCAACATCAGACCATTGAACATGTAAATGTGTTGTTAAATTATAAAAATATTAACCTAATATATCATGCTGTACATTTGTGAATCCCTCTTCTAAATAAACCGTATCAGGGTGATGCACAAACATATTTACTATGTCTATTCATTAGTGCACAGTAATAAAGAGAAATCACAAATGTCAAATGTTATGCTAGTTAACTGGCTTTAGATTTCTAGGACGTTACGTATGCATGGTGCATAAAAAGCATTTTGCCAACTGTGTCACAATAAAATGACTTTTGCATTACACAAAGCAATAATTTAACATAAAATGATTGTCATGCACAGCCTCAAGGCTTATTGCTACCATGCAATGGCTTTATGATAAAAAACAATACATAGTTTAATTTAATAATAATTGTTCTATAAGCAACGAAGCTTTGAGAGTTTCTCATACAATTAAGTGTCACAGTCAGAACTATTTCTAAAATGTGCATTTTGTCACATAGAGATTAAACTTTACCTTTAATGCATCAGTTGTGTTTTATCATGTTCCTTGGCCAGACAGCAGGACCGCAATATATCTGTTGCTTTCTTTAATGCAAATCAATGTGGTGGTGTAATGCAAGGCTTTTAACTAAATTAAACCCCTGCTGTCTGTCAAAGGGAATGATGTTCACTGGTCTGATAGTATTTTGGCAGCGTACCTAACCACTCATTTGCCTGATGTTTGATGGCATGTGCTTATGTAACACATTTGTGAGGAACGGTGAATTAAATGTATTAAAATATATTAAAATACATCATTTATATCTAATAAATAACAAGTTTATTTTCATTTAGAAAATGCACTTAGGCAAATGTACCTAAGGCAAGTGTAACTCATCCATTTGTACTGCAGACATAATAATAAATAAAGCTTCAAGCAGCAATTATCGGAAGAATTATCGCAAGCGCAAGAAGACGATAAGACATGCCAACATGGCTGGGAGTGTCAGACCAACTACAGCAAGGAGCAATTAAAGACATTTTAAGATGATTTTAGGCAAAATAGCTGAATAATAATGTTACGATCCCTGGTCTAGGTCAGGGTGTAACATAAACAACAAAACCAATTCCTTTAGTTAGCTTGAGTTTATTGCTATTTTCTTGCCCTCTGAGTTGTTTTCAGGGCCGCATTGTGTTGACATTCATAAAACAATATCTTGAAAATACAGAATCAAAGAATCAAACAAACAGGGGAAAAGTAGAAGCAAGATCTTCAGGGGTGAGCTAATGCCAAAACAATAAACCAAACAGAACTAACTTTCCCACGAAAGCTACCTTTCCTGTGAATCAAATAAAAGAAACAAAACATACAATGAAATACCCTATCTCCTTAACTAGCACAATAACCAGGAGAAAAATAACGGCCTTTCGGCCTACAAAGAAAACAAGGCACTCACCCCCTACGGCTTCTCAAATTAATCATAAACATACAGACACGATCACGGGCACTGGTGTGCTGGGTACAAATCACACAGTATCAAAGTAGTTACACAATACTCTGCTAACACAAGCTAGGAGCACATAAATCACACGATTGGGCTTCATTTTCACCGGCTGACAAACACACAGTACAACACCGGGGCAATCAAAGAGGCAGAGAGCACCCTCTACAGGAATTCCGGGGAATTTATAGTCCAGGCCTCTTCTCTGATCCAACCACCCATAGCGTTGCATTAGATCCAGGACCAATCCTAAAGGAGAAGGAGACAGCAGCAACAACAGCAGAAACAACATAGCTGCATTACGTCACAACCGTAACACCCCCACCCTTAAAATTACAAATTATTATTTGTAACCACCAAAACAATTCTTAATCCCCAAATTAACATGGCGCACGTGACAAGGCATCAGCAAGTATATTTTCACACCCCTTCTTGTGCCGAATTTCCAAGTTAAAACCTTGTATCAACAAAGACCAGCGCATCAGTCTTTGATTCGAATTTGACATTCGAAAAAGAAAAACCAGGGGATTGTGGTCAGTATACACCAGGATAGGGACATTACAAGCATCAAGATAAATTTCGAAATGCTGAAGTGCAAGCAACAGCGCAAGAGCCTCTTTCTCGATTGTGCTGTAATGTTGCTGCGATTTCGTAAATTTCCTTGAAAAATAACATACCGGGTGATCAATTCCCACAGCATCCTCCTGAATAAGGACTGCCCCTGCTCCCACCTCACTCGCATCGACTTCCAATTTAAATGGTTGTGAAAAATTTGGAGCTGATAGAACTGGGGCACTACACAGCAACGTTTTAACCGCATCAAAAGCTGACTGACACTCTGAAGTCCACTCAAACACTCTAGATTGACTCAGTAAGTTGGTAAGGGGTGATGCAACTTCAGCAAAGTTCTTGCAAAAAGCACAGTAATACCCGGTCATTCCCAAGAAGCGGCGCAACTCTCGTTTCGTTTTAGGAACGGGAAAATCAATAATACACTCAACTTTTGTATTAACAGGACGCACTTGCCCTTGACCCACACATTTCCCAAGGTATGTCACAACAGCTTTACCAAACTCACATTTAGCAAGATTTAAAGTAAGCGATGCATCACTTAGTCGATGAAAAACTGAATACAGATTTGTTAGATGCTGCTCCCAGTCAGATGAACAAACGACAATGTCATCCAGGTATGCCTCACAGTTTCCTAACCCAGCCAGCACTATCCTCATCAGGCGTTGGAAAGTGGCGGGTGCATTTCGCATCCCGAAAGCCATCCTCTTGTATTCTAGGAAGTGATCAGGTGTAACAAAGGCAGAGATTTCTGAAGCCCTGGCGGTCAAAGGTACCTGCCAATAACCTTTTAACAGGTCGAGCTTAGTCACAAACTTTGCAGCGCCAACCCTATCAATGCAATCATCCATCCTTGGTAAAGGATAGGAATCGGGTTTCGTTATGGAATTTACCTTGCGGTAATCGGTGCAGAATCGAAATTTGCCATCTGATTTAGGCACCAACAGACAGGGTGAGCTCCATGAACTGGAACTTGGCACAGCAAAACCATGTTCTAACAAATATGCAGTCTCTTCTTGCATTATTTCTCTCTTGATGGGGTTTACACGATAGGAATTCTGCTTAATAGGAGAGCAATCACCCACATCAATATCATGCTCCAACACTGTAGTTTGACTTGGCACATCAGAAAAAAAAGCAGGGAACTTTTTAATGAGCGCAATAACATCACTTTGACAAGCTTCACTCAAGTAACACAGATGAGACTTTAAATCCACTAAAAGCTTGGAATTGTCCAACCGAGCACACGATACATCTCGCATTCGCAGCCCATCATCCTCAGGACAGTATACGGCTGCCATAGCAGGAGAGATGGAATCAGTGTTTTTTTGCATATTCTGAACATCATCCTTTTGAACTACATCCCTCATTACATAGGCTTTTAGCATATTAATGTGACACACTCGGGTCTTTCGTTTTCTGTCAGGCGTATTAATGACATAATCAGTGTCACTTAATTTCTGCTTGATGGTGTAGGGACCTGAGAACTTTGCCTGCAATGGCGACCCTGGAAGAGGAAGAAAGACAAGCACCAAATCATCTTCCTGAAAACTTCTAAAGACACTCTTTTTATCGAAGCGGGTCTTCATTTTAACCTGAGTGCGGCCCAACTCCGAAAGTGCCACTTCACGAGCTCGGTGTAGGCGTTCTCTGAACGAATTCACATACTCAAGTACACTAGTTTGGGGGGTTGTCTCTGCCAGCAACTGTTCACGAAACAGTTTTAACGGGCCCCGCACAGTGTGCCCAAACACTAATTCGGCAGGACTAAAACCCAAGGATTCCTGAACGGTCTCTCGTACCGCAAACATGACCAAGGGAACACCCTCATCCCAATCTTTCCCAGTTTCAAAACAGTACGTACGCAACATACTTTTCAGGGTCTGATGAAAGCGTTCCAGTGCTCCCTGTGACTCTGGATGGTAAGCACTAGAAAGTTTATGCTTTACTGACAAACAGTCCAGAACCTGAGAAAACAGCTTGGAGGTGAAATTTGTACCTTGATCCGACTGTATCACTCTAGGAATACCAAATGTAGAGAAAAATTTGACTAGCTCTTTAGTCACATTCTTAGCCCTAATGGTACGCATAGGAATCGCCTCGGGATACCGAGTAGCAGCACACATTAGAGTCAGCAAATACTGATATCCAGACTTAGTCTTAGGTAATGGACCGACGCAATCAATAATAATTCTCTCAAATGGCTCCGACACAATTGGAATAGGATGGAGAGGAGCACTAGGAATTCCCTGATTAGGTTTACCAGCTAGCTGGCACACATGACAAGAACGGCAGTACTCTGAAACCGATTTTTTCAAGCCAGGCCAGTAAAAATAGTGAAGGATGCGACTAAAAGTCTTGTTTACTCCCAGGTGGCCAGAGAGAGCATGATCATGAGCTAAACACAAAATCTGTTCACGATAATTATGAGGAACCACTACCTGAAAAACAGTCTTCCAGCTCAGATCCTTCTCTGATGGAGACCACTTACGCATAAGCACTCCATCCTCCCAAACATAAGCCACATCCTTATCTACTACTTCATCTTTTTGTACAGCCTCAGTGAGACATTTGACTAGAGACGGGTCAGCTTTCTGCGCAGCCGCCAGCTGTTCTTTGCCGGTTCCACACAAAGACTCAAACTGGACTGCAACATCCTGGTCGAAATCACACCCCTTAGGAGAAACATCCTGCGCACATTCCCCTCTGTCAACTTTATCAGTCATAAAGGTTTCAGACACATCTAAAACATCATCAAACTTCCTAGCCTGAGCACGGGTTACCGCACAAGCAGTAAAAACAGAAGGAAACTTTTGGCCCACATCAACCCGCTCACAAAACCCAGACACCTCTGGCTTGTCCACAACAATGGGCTGAGGAAACACCTTACCACCAGCAATATCGTTGCCTAATATCAAACCTACTCCTTCTATTGGAAGCTGAGCACGTACTCCCAAACTTACAACTCCAGTGAACAAATCAGATTGGAGGTAAACAGAGTGCAAGGGAACTTTAACACAACCGAGTTCAATGCCACGGATTAGCACGCTAGATCCGCAGTATGACCGTTCTGAGAAATCGAGCGCGCTCTCCACAATAAAAGATTGAACCGAACCAGTATCTCGCAAGATCGTAATCGGCTTCAAGTGTCCCTGTTCACCTGAGAGAGATACTGAACCGTTCATAATAAATGGGCAGTATAAGTTTGTATGCGGATTAATAAAGTTCCACGCAGAGGGCGCAATATGAACTAGAGCAACTCCCTTTGGTTTCTCAGATGGTTTATTCTGATTCCAGCGCTTACAATCTGCAATCAAATGACCCGGCTCACGACAGAAAAAACACACGCGCCTCTCTCCCTCACGAGCCACATTTGTATTACGAAACACACTCGAGGCTGCCTCTCTATTCTCTCGTTTTCCCTTACCCTTAAAAAAAACCCTTGAATCGTTTCTCACAGGAAATTCAACAGATGAACCATGTTTCTCTCTACACACAGACGGAGTAAAAACAGTTTTGTGCGTGAGCACAAATTCATCTGCCAAAACAGCGCCATTAGTCACGGATAAGACCTTCTGCTCATTCAGATACACCACGATGTCCTCTGAAACACAACTTTTAAAGTCCTCTAGCAACAAGAGTTCGCGTAATTGCTCAAATGTTGTAACTCTGCTTGCGGCACACCATTTGTCAAACAACACAGTTTTCTCGCGAGCAAACTCGCCAAATGTTTGACTGGAAATTTTCTGATGGTTTCTGAATTTCTGACGATAAGCTTCAGGTACTAATTCGTATGCTCTCAAAACAGCAGCTTTAACAGTATCGTAATTCAAACTTTGTTCAATAGGTAAAGATGTGCACACTTCCTGAGCTTTACCCACTAATTTACATTGCAATAACAGCGACCACAACTCTTTTGGCCAATGTAATGTAGCTGCTATGCGCTCAAAAGCGACAAAATACGAGTCTACCTCCGTCTCTCTGAAAGGAGGAACAAGTGTAATGTATTTACTCACATCAAAGCTGGTCACAGACGCACCAACAGAGGAGGTAATGGGTAGACTTTGATTCGGTGCAGGTGAAACTGGCAAACGAGGAGATGGTGGTCTAGATCTGGGCACAGGCACAGGCACATTAGGTGGCAATTTGGCTTGTAGTTCCAACCTGCGTAAATTAAATTTGCTATCAGCCTCTAACTCCCGAGTCCGAAAGTGAAGAAGCTGTGCATCATAATCCTGTTTTTTTAACTGCAAGTCCAACTCTTTCAATTTAATAGCTAGCATAGGATCAAATCGGGAATGACTAGGATCTATGCTAGGAAAAGAAAAGGTATCTCCATCAACTGCTGCCTCAGCACCCGTCCCAGTTACTCCCTCCACAGATTCATCAGGCAAAATTCTAGCCTCCACCAATTTGCTATACAACTTCTCTTTAACAACTTGTTTTCGCCCCTCCCTAGGAACAACAATATTAAAGAAATCTGCAATTTGTAACAAATCAGCTTTACGACATTTATTAAATTCCTCCGTGGTAGGAGACAACGTAAATGACGTTAAATCAAATTCCATGCTTACACTCCTCCAATTCGTCCCGCACCCAAGGAAAATTACCAGGCAACAAATGCATGTGAAACTAATATCAATTACCTTCATTGATATGCAACGGACGAGCCCCCAATTTATGTTACGATCCCTGGTCTAGGTCAGGGTGTAACATAAACAACAAAACCAATTCCTTTAGTTAGCTTGAGTTTATTGCTATTTTCTTGCCCTCTGAGTTGTTTTCAGGGCCGCATTGTGTTGACATTCATAAAACAATATCTTGAAAATACAGAATCAAAGAATCAAACAAACAGGGGAAAAGTAGAAGCAAGATCTTCAGGGGTGAGCTAATGCCAAAACAATAAACCAAACAGAACTAACTTTCCCACGAAAGCTACCTTTCCTGTGAATCAAATAAAAGAAACAAAACATACAATGAAATACCCTATCTCCTTAACTAGCACAATAACCAGGAGAAAAATAACGGCCTTTCGGCCTACAAAGAAAACAAGGCACTCACCCCCTACGGCTTCTCAAATTAATCATAAACATACAGACACGATCACGGGCACTGGTGTGCTGGGTACAAATCACACAGTATCAAAGTAGTTACACAATACTCTGCTAACACAAGCTAGGAGCACATAAATCACACGATTGGGCTTCATTTTCACCGGCTGACAAACACACAGTACAACACCGGGGCAATCAAAGAGGCAGAGAGCACCCTCTACAGGAATTCCGGGGAATTTATAGTCCAGGCCTCTTCTCTGATCCAACCACCCATAGCGTTGCATTAGATCCAGGACCAATCCTAAAGGAGAAGGAGACAGCAGCAACAACAGCAGAAACAACATAGCTGCATTACGTCACAACCGTAACAAATAATATATACAGTAACTAAAAATATGATTTAATGGATTATCACTTTCGACCAATAGGTGGCGCAGTTATTGATGTGATGTGGTCAGAGTGAAGTGACAATGACACATACAAAGTTTGGTGTCAATATGGTGTCGAGGCATTGCAGAGATAAAGCCTGAATAGTCCTTTTGGCAGCATGCCTGAACTTTGCTGCTGCAATATATGAAAACGGTTTCGTCTATCAACACGAAATCCATAACTTTTAGTCTGGAAATGATACGAACAGTCTTGGAGGAGTTTGAAAAAGTAGGTATTGAATGAAAACCAAGTTGGCGGACAGGAAGTTCGGCCAAATACGGCAAACCTGGTATCTATGTTCTCGGCGTGACCCAAATTAAGACCAGTGTCATTACAATAGGCATATTTATTCAAAAGTTATTAGCATTTTTGGACATTTTGTTATAACTTTTAACCAAAAGGTGGCACTGTCTCTAAATATTTTGATTACCTTCAGGGCATGGTGCTGATGACACATACTGAGTTTCATAATGTTACACCAATGCATTCATTAAGTATAGCATTTTATATCACAAAACTGTATTGAAGTCAATGGCAATTTCATGTTTTGTTCTATTATAGCGCCAACAAGAGGCACAATCCTACCATTTTTTTATGTGTCCTCATAGTGAGCCCATACATGTGTGTGTCAAATTCGGTGAAAATATCTCATTTCGTTTTGGAGTTATAGACATTTATATGTATAAAAACATATAACAAATGACCCACACCTGACTTTGTTTGCATTTTCTCGCCACTTACTATTAATATTTTGACATTTGGGCACCAGCATATGGCCAACGACATATGTTTCCAAAATTCCTATGGTGGTTTTGTCTCGATCGGTCTAACGGTTTCGAAGATATTGGTAAATGTTTTTTAAGCGCTAAATCACAACGCTACACAAAGCGTAAGGCGAAACCTAGCATGTTTGGTATCGTTGGACTCGGCAAGGATTCAGGAATCTAAGGAGATGACTCCCCTGAAAATAAGTCAACCAGACCCATCCGTTCATTCGCTCATAAAATACAGCATTTTAGTACAAAATTCAAAATGGCCGACGCCCAAAATGGCCCTGAATCTAACAAGACCACTTTTATGATTTTTGGACAAGTTATAACCAAAAATAATGCAATCGAATCGCCTTGAGCCAAGGAATCAGTAGAATTTTGTTTGTAGCCCTTATGGTTCAAAAGTTATAAACTTGAGTGAAACTTTGGACAGTTGGTGGCGCTAGAGGGATTGAGTTAGAGACTCCAAATTTGCTATGGTGAGTGTTCAGACTGTCCTCTATCAGTGTGCCAAATTTCATAACTTTCCCGCAAGCAGTTCTATTGACTGCCATAGACTTCCATACGGAAGAAGAAGAAGAAGAAGAAATGGAAGAAGAATAAGAATAAGAACACCAACGATTTCACGAGGTGCCACTGCCTACACACTTTCAATGCTTGGCCCCTAATAACAAACACCAATAATAATAATTCGAAATCATTTGGACTTACCTTTATCGTCTAGTCTGGATGATACGTCTGGGTAAAAAAGTCCAAAGACTCCACACACCAATCCATATCTATAAAGAGAATAATATAGACATCAATGAGCAACTAACCTCCCATTCAGAAAATGTCTAGCTGTGTATTATTACTATAGTACTTTGTAAAAAAAACTTGAATGTGAATGCACTTAGATGTGAGCAATGCATTTACAGAACAACACTTGAATCGCCGTTTGCTGATATATTGGTTTCAAAAAGTAATTGTATTTGTATTGTTTTGGCAGGTACAACATCATTGTTACACAGAGGCGGGCGTGGGTAGCTGTGGGTTTGTGCTGGCTCATCTCTTTTCTGACTGGCCTAGTGCCTATGGCCGGCTGGCACTGCAGTCCACCTGGAAATGTCAGTACGACGCCCATCCAATGCCAGTTCACCAACGTCATGCGCATGGATTATATGGTCTACTTCAACTTCTTCGTCTGGGTGGTGGTTCCCCTGACCATCATGATCGGCCTGTACGCCGAGATCTTCCGCGTGATCAAACGCCAGCTCAACCGTCGAGCCGAGGCCACTTGCGACTCCAGCAAGTACTACCGCAAAGAGCTGAAACTTGCAAAGTCGTTAGCACTAGTTCTGTTTCTCTTTGCGCTCTGCTGGCTGCCACTTCATATCATGAACTGTTTTGTGTTTTTTTGGCCCACATGCACAGTGCCCAAGAGTGCTTTTTATGTGGGCATCTTTATGTCACACATCAACTCCGCACTCAACCCGCTAGTGTATGCCTTCCGCATCCAGCGCTTCCGTGATACACTGATTCATATCATTCAGCGATTCATGCTCTGTAAAGCCTCCTCAACCAGCCCAAGCCAGCACGGTCCGGGACCAATCACGGAGAAAACACAAGTTCAATAGCAACTAAGACTTGAGGGGGGAATTTACTAAGAAGGGGAGCGTACGTTGGAGTTGTTTTAGCATCTGATTGACTAAAGGAACTATGTAACAGCATAAAAACACAAAATTGTGCAATGCAATTTTTCATTTTGCATTCTTATTCTGACCACTACATTGTGGGGGATGTTGCAGGCCAGTCCAATCTGACATTACTGCAGTCCATGCACCTGAATCAGCTCTTTACAGTGCAGAAACAGCACTAGTCAACACTGTGTGTCTGGAAATATGCCCAGTTATAATGCTCTTCTCCATCATTTGATGAATTACTGCTGCCGTGATCACAGGAAAATGGACACAAACATCACTTTTCAAACATAATTGTGCAGTTTTGTAAATATGGTGCATTCCATTTTAAGTCTTATTTGCACAGCAATGAGGCATGTTGCACTGGACAGAATAACAATTACTTTAGCCAAAGCGCAATGCTATACCGCACCTGGGTCCAGTTGAATAAATATAGCCATTTATATGTTAAGAGACTAGTTCTGTCCCAAATGATGCACTATACACTCATACACTATGTTTGTATGCACTATGTACTCAACCGTGTAGTGTATGAATTTTACAAGGTTATTTTGTCATTCAACATTGGAGACCGATAGCCGCTCTCCCTCTGCTAATTAAAGCTGCAACAGTTGAGTGCATGAAGTGTCCAACATTTCACACTTCTTTTTATCGGGTAATTAAGTGTATTATCTGGGTATTTAAAGTGCACTTTTTCCTTTTCTGAATTTTCGTTGTGAACACACTACATGCACTAAATATACTACAAATCGGATTAGAGTAGTGCATAAGTATGCGAATTGGGACGCGTCTTGTGTCTTAAAGTTCATCCAAAAATGTCAATTCTGTCATCTTTAACTTACCCTCAAGTTATTCCAAACCTGTATGCGTTTCTTTGATCTGCTGAACACAAAAGAAGATTTTGAAGAATTTAGGTAACCAAACAATTAATGGGCCCCTTTGACTTTCATAGTATGGAAAACAAAATACTATGGAAGGCAATCTTCTACTATCTTCTTGTTCAGCAACAAAAAGAAATTCATACAGGTTTGGTAAATGATGACAGAATTTTCATTTTTGTGTGAACGATCCCTTTAAGAACTAGTCTGACCAACTAGCAGTTAGTTTGGGGTAATCAGTCTTTTCGGTATCAAAGAGGATTTATGCACAGCTTCACTACTTCCTGAACTTCAGCCAGCTCCTTTGCTTCCTGTCTGCCATTATTGGACAAACTGATTAATCCAGGTTGGATTAATCAGTTTGTCCAATAATGGCAGACAGGAAACAAAGGAGCTGGCTGAAGTTCAGGAAGTAGTGAAGCTGTGCATAAAGCCAATTAGAGACCAATCTATGTTACCAATCTATGTAACTGTCTTATAGAAAAAAAAAAAGATTTCTAACTTGTCTTAGCAGTTTATGCAACCGGCCCCTGGTTAAGTTGGATAGTGTGTGACTGGTAAATAAGACTGTTTTTTGTGCTGAAATGCAAATAATAATAATAATAATAATACATTTATTTATAGAGCGCTTTCAATCAAAGTGCTTTACAAACAGAATATAGGTCAAATACACACAATACAATAAAAAAAGAAAATCGAGACATCCATCCATCCATCCCACCTAGCGCACAGTGCCACCGGGGGCTACAGCCAATCCCACAATCCCATCCCACTTTGACGACAAAAAAGGCGAGGTACACTCCAAACAGGTTACCAGTCCCTCGCAGTACATCGAGACAGTAAAAAAGTAATACCACAATACAAAAAGAGATAACTGAACATTTAGGACTCATACGCAGCAGCGAATAAGTAGGTCTTAAGCTTAGATTTAAAAACCTCAATCGAACATGCCAGTCTAATATCTGTCGGAAGACTGTTCCATAGTGTTGGAGCACGAAACGGAAAGGCTCGCTCACCAACCGTTTTCTTCCTAACCTTTGGTACAGTCAGAAGTCCTGTCCCGTGGGAGCGCAGCAACCGAGTAGGCACATAAGAATTTAAAAGATCAGACAGATTTAATGGTGCGAGGCCATTCACTATTTCGTATGTTAACAACAAAACCTTGAAATCAGCTCTAGCCTGAACAGGGAGCCAATGCAGTGAGGCCAGCACAGGAGTTATATGCATGTATTTAGATGATCCAGTCAGAATACGAGCTGCAGCATTCTGGACCATCTGCAGACCTCGCAAACTTTTCTTAGGCAGCCCCGAGAACAATACATTACAATAATAACAAAGGCATGAATAAGGGCCTCAGCATCATTCCGTGCCAGTATTGATCTAATCTTTGCGATTTTTCGGAGATGAAAGAAAGCTACTTTGGTCACCTCTTTAATATGCAAATCAAATGACAGTGACCGATCAAAAACTACCCCAAGATTCTTTACTCTATCCTTGCACTGAATGACTGAATCATCAATGGACAGAGTAAAATTGTCATACAAATGACCTAATCTAGTTGGTTCAATAGCTATCATCTCAGTTTTTGCTGAATTGAGTAACAGGAAGTTAGCTGATAACCAGCTTCTCACACAGCAGCCAAGCAAAATGCCGAATGTAATATGACACAGCTGTACAGTGAATTCACCACTGTGAGTTCAAATATGGACAGCTACTTCAAAGATCTCTTTCTTTTGAACGTAATAAAAACATTTTGTGGCCTGATGTGGCTGTAGGATAAGCATTGGATGGTTTGTTAGACTTGTCATGTCATTGAAATGCACAGCAAACAACAAGCTAGTAAATAGATTAAAACGGGACAATTTAACAGAACCAGTTTTGAACAAAACACACCAATATTCATTACAGTGCTAACTGCTAATACTTCAGTAATGACAATTGGGAAAAATGTGCTAAAACATTGAAATAATAGGCAAAAAAGCATAATAGTCCATAGGCTTCATTTTCTTGGTTCAAAACATAATTATTTTTCTTTAACTGTACACGTGTTAGGTTAGACAGACTTTGTGTATTACAATAAAAATTCCTATACATTTAGCTAACAAACTATATCCAGCAAATTTACATAACACATAGCTGTACCAAACTATAGAGTTATGTGCTTTTATGACAGTAAAGATTTGCATTTAACACATGACTTAAATTTTCCATTTAACCAATAATTAACTTTCCTGGACTGACAATAACATGTATGCAAACTGGTATATCATCAAGATTAATATGAAGATGGATTATAATGCCTGACTCAAAATACATTATGGTCACAAACTACCAATTTACTGAGATACATGTTGAGTAAGATATGCATCCAGTTCCAGACTAAGCTACTATAAGGGTCAAACGTTTTTTTTTTTTTCTCAGGCTCAGGTCTTGTTTTTCATTCTAGCGACAAACCAAACCAACTGATGGGTGAACCAAGAGATGAGCGAGACAAGAGGAAGCTCCGTTTTACAGAAGTGGTACACTGGCCTTAAAATATGACCAATAAGTCAAAGATAACAACTGTGAACTTTCAGAATGCCAGCAAGTGAAAACAAAATCTTTAAAAATGTTTATAAAAAACTATAATGTCATTGGCATAACCACACCGTGGCCTATCTTTATGAGGTCTTGAAGCGGTAATGTTGGCTTGACATACATCTATCTATAAGCAGCCTAGTAGCAACCACCCAAAACACCAAACTCACAACCTAGCAACCATTCAGAACACCAAAATCACAACCTAGCAACCACTCGGAACACCAAACTCACAACCTAGCAACCACCCAAAACACCAAACTCACAACCTAGCAACCACTCGGAACACCAAACTCACAACCTAGCAACCACCCAAAACACCAAACTCACAACCTAGCAACCACCCAAAACACCAAACTCACAACCTAGCAACCACTCAGAACACCAAACTCACAACCAAGCAACCACCCAAAACACCAAACTCACAACCTAGCAACCACTCGGAACACCAAACTCACAACCTAGCAACCACCCAAAACACAAAACTCACAACCTAGCAACCACTCAGAACACCGGTCCACGCAGCATATAAAACTGCTTTCAAACTGTTTCACAGACAAGGCTTAAGCTAGTCCCAGACTAAAATGCATGTTTCAACCCTAACCGAGAGCAACTTGCACTGATATATTTTGAAATATATCAAAATATTACGACTTTATTCTCGTAATGTTTCGACTTTAATCTTTTATTTATTTATTTTTTTGCGGTTCAGGGATTCCGTATAATTTAACTTATCCTGGCCGTCTGTGAAACCACCAGGACACACACTTTCAAACGGTTTTAAACTTCCAAATTGTCAAATCAAAATTCAAACTTTCATTTTCTAGTTTTATAATGCAATTATAAAACAAGTGAAGCAAGTCAAATAAGGAGAAATAGAATAATAATTTCCAGAAATGACATTAACTGAACCTCAATGTAATCATTTCCCCCATTATTTGTTCCATCGAAGAGCGGCATTATCTGTTTTGATCATAGACAGTAAAAGAAATGATGTGAAGTTTGGTGATGTATCGAATCTGCGCCGCTGGACACACAGATGATGACGTCAAGCTCTGAACATCGGCTCAAAGTTTCGCATCCGGTTGAAATTACTATTATTAGCCTTAACATATAGCGTTCCCTATCCTTAATTTTAAACTGTCAGCCGCCCAACTGAGCTCAGGATCGTGTTACGGATGTGTCTTAATCAGGGTTTGTGTTTTCATCCCATTATAATACTCACAGACGGACGTAAACAAAGTCGCTAGTTATCGCTGTTTTAGCCAGCGAATGCTAATAAACAGTCTGTTCGCCGCGGTATTTTACATATACTTGCTTGTTTGTTATAATAAATTATAATAATTATATTTATATAACTATAAAATACTGAAGATAACACATTATTATTCTTGACTGTAGAATGTTTGAATGCTAACTAGTGCGTATGTTGCCTAATAAGGTTGACCAGCGGTGGGTATTTGTCTCACTAAAATTGATTTCACTTTATCTGGGTTGTTTTAATAAGCTTATCTACGTTTTCGTGGTTACTAAGAAAGAAATGCCACGTTTTTGGAGATCTACCATGGTATTCTCAGAAGTGTGGAGGTCTGACAAACAAACTGAATTCTGCACTGTTATTGTTTTTGGCATTGACAGGTTGAAACGCAATTCTTGGGGCTCCAGTTAACCCTCCCCTCCAGCCGGTGTGGGGACCTGTGTTGCCCCCCTCTTCTCCTGCGAGATGGGCAGTCATTTCCGCAGCTACATTTGGGATCCGATCCTCATCATCTCTCAGATTGTTCTCATGCAGTGCATCTACTACAGCTTCTTGGGTCTCTGGTTAGCTGGTGTTGATGGTTTGGTCCATACCAGTAGATCACTTGACCAGATATTCAGTTATGAGGTAAGAACCTGTCCAAATAGAGCTGGATGAAATAGTTACAACAATCATGGCTTTCTTGAAGTAAATGTAATGCACATATTGTTTACAAGCTGTTTTATTGACGTCTTTCCCAGGGTGAAACACTGATTGAGCGATTACATTAGACATGATAGATTTTAGCAAGCTGAACTGTTGCTTTCATCATACCATATGATGATCATTAATGTTTTTTTAATGCTATAAGTTCCAGTAAAAATGAAGAGATGTTTGGTTTATGATTAGCACTACAGCGATCTCTCTCACGCCACATAAAAGAGCATCAATTTTGTTTGTATTTCAGGATAAAATTGACAGGATCTGAAATCTAAGGCTTTGTGGTTCTTATCAAAAATAACAAATCACAAAGCTTATCGTGATTTTTAGATGAGAACAGCGTAGACTAATAGATCGATCTTGGCATTTAAAAATCAATATTGGTTCATCAAAATTAAAATTGATATTGTCATCAACCCAGCCCTACAAATAACTAGTTGACTTTCTTTCAAGGTTCTTGGGTTTTCAACAACACAAGGCCGCTTATCCATGATGGCATTTATTCTGAATTCTCTCACATGGTAAGTTAATATTAATGTCTCTTATTTCAGACAGTTATCTCACTTTTATCCACCATCTTAAGTCATTCTTGGCTCTGTTTCTCTTTCTCAGTGCTCTTGGCCTGTGGTTCTTCATCCGACGGGGAAAGCAGTGTCTGGACTTCACCGTAACAGTGCATTTCTTCCACATGATCGGCTGCTGGATCTATAACGCCCACCTCCCAGCTGCCCTGTCATGGTGGTTGGTCAACGTGGCCTGCATGGCCCTCATGGCAGTCATTGGCGAGTACATGTGCATGCGGACAGAGCTCAGAGCCATCCCTGTCAACACGGCACCCAAATCGAACCTATGAGGACTGTTTAGAGACAGATGTGCCACAGCTGGTCGGCGTATCGGCAGGGCTGGCATGTTGACTAACGCCGCTGTGGTTTTCCGGGAGGACGAGCAGAAAGGACTTGGTTTTTTGGTGATGTATTGGTCACGTCACTGTATTTAATCCGGATGACATTGATTTGTGCCACAGGATGTCAAATGGGTTTTCAAGATGCATCGAATGAGGATGATGACTTCCTGGGACTTCCCGCAGCATTCGCATCATTTCAAAGGGACTATTGTAATTATATTTAGTAATTATTAACGGTTTTCATCATTCACAGATGGCTGCGGAAAATATGAAAGTGATGATGTGTTCTAACCGCACAGAAAAGCATCATGTCTTATATGCAAGTCTCTATCTAAATAAAATGCAATATAATTCTGAATTCTTGGATAATGGATCGTAATCCTTTGGAAAGAAATGTGGTTTTCATGTTTTATCAAGTCACCATTTTACTTTTACCAATGGCAGAGTTTCATTGACCTCAGATGCAAGTTTAAGTCAACATGAAATCAAAATGGACCCATTTACTTTCTTGATAGATGTTCCTGTTGTTATTGAGCATGTTGTTCCAAAGGACAAAATTAAAAGTGGATGCCTGATTTTTTATCCCCTTTTACTTTTCTGTCATTTAATATCCTAGTTCAATTGGAAATATAAATGTTTATTGAATAGGATAAACCCCTTGAGATGAACCATCTCGTTTTTGAGGGGGTCCTAATTTACAATACAACACAGAACAAGGGACAAATCAAACACATTACAATTAAATAATTAGACAATACCACAATCAACACACTACAAAAAAAACGACTTAAAAAAAGTTAAGTATTTAGGTGTAATGTTACATTAAGGAAGTAAAATGTGTCTCAGATGCTATTTAATGTTTACATGTTTACTTCAATGTACTTTGCATTAAATTTTGACCCACATGTCTGTCAGCTACAATCAAAATCCCTTTCAAAATTTGTTTGCAATGAGTAATCGCGTGATAAATGCTTTCGTTGAGTTAAAAGGCAAATCAGATCAACCACATTTTTTTTTACATATACTGTTGCAATAAATCAGAAACTGCAATATATGTGTAAATGTATGATCCGGTTTGTCAAAAGTGTGAGTCTTGGCTTTCATAAAAAAAAAGAATTTTTTTCTTTTACTGTTAACCTTGCAACATCCTGTTTCTCAAACACTTTCAAGCCACATAATACTGACTACTACAAAATACTATAGGAAAGTCTGTGAACTGTCTTGCTTCAGGCTCAAAATATATAAGAATTGGAAAAGTTGTTGCAACCTGTTAGACATTGTATTGTGTTTCAGGCATTTGGTCAATGGTTTTGCTTTTTTGTGGAACTTTGTAGCTTTGAATTACAGAAAACATTAAAGTTGAACTGCTTGAAGCTGCTCAAGTAAACATCATGGCAGCCGCATGGATTCTCAAACATGTGGCAAAATACTCATCGCTTTAAGATGTTAAAGTTTTCGCAAATGTTTTGTCAGAATAAAACTATATTCTGCCGTGTCCTTGATCTGTTGAGCTTAAGAGTATTGGTACAAATAAGTATTGATTATAGAGCACTTGGGTGAATCTCATGAAGCCTGGAAAGAACATGTCTGGGTGGGTCATATTTCACCCTAAAGAAATGTTTGTCTTTTAGGGCCAAAGTTATGACTATAAACAATTAATACAGTACACAAATATTACCATGATGTATAAATACTTTACAGCTTTAATATATATATATATATATATATAAAAAATTCTCATTGTACATGTAGTTTTTCATACTCTATAGGTATTACATTTAAATTTATTTGGAGGAAAATTAGTCTAACTGTCATAACTGATAAAGGTAAATCCAAACACAAATGTATTTATTTAGGGGTGAAATTGGAGCTTTTGAAGTGGGTGATCCTCTCCCAAACTCAGGGTGGCGCCAGTGCGTGCACGCGCGCGTTCGCTCAAACCCAAACAAAGACGTAAAAGGATTCGCTCATGTTCTGCTTCCGGTGGTTTTCGCCCCGCGCTGCTCCGCTGTGAAAATGCCGAAGTGAGTGTGTCTTTTATGTTTATTTCATACAAACATTTACGATATATTATACAAACAAACAACACGTCTTGGTCGTGAAAGATTAATCAACGTATCTGGTGTACATTTCGGCATTATAGAATACTACATTACAAACACAGCTGCGTTTCTCAGATAAGAGCTAACGTTAGCTCTCTAAGCTAAGTCGGCTTTTCAATGGATTTGAACTAGTGTGCTTGTTATGTTTATTCACAGTTTAAATGCTTTAAATAACGTTTTTCTGTAGAATCCAGTTTTTAACAAAAATGTGCGAAAATAGAATTAACAAAAGAGTAACTTACTATGTAAATACCATTCATTGCACTTGAATTTCAATGCCATTATATTACCGTATTATATATATAACTTACATGGTGTTCTAAATTACTTTCAAGAAGACTATAGTAATACCTATGTCCAACAAAATCATGGTACTTGTTACTTTTGTACGTGGCAGTACTTTACTATGGTATTTATTAATGAGCTGAAATTATCATTAGTATCATCCCTGTACTCTAAGTACCACTACGTTGTTTTTGTGTAATGTGAGTTTTTTTGTGACACCAATTTTTTCTCCCTCTTTCAGGTTTTACTGTGATTATTGCGACACTTACCTGACACACGATTCGGTAAGATTAGCACTCTTAATGTGACCTATTTAAAATGACATTCATTATTATATATGTGTAAAAGTTCATTGTTTATGTATTTAATCTCTGCAGCCATCCGTCAGAAAGACACACTGCAGTGGACGTAAACATAAAGAAAATGTGAAAGATTATTATCAGAAATGGATGGAGGAGCAGGCTCAGAGTCTCATCGACAAAACAAGTGAGTAAATCATATTCTTATGCATGTTTATCAAGTCATTACCACTGATCTATACATAATATGCATACTTGATATAATTATGAGTTGATTGAGCACTAATTTATTAGGCTCCTGTGTAAAGTACTTTTTGTGTGTTACAGCTGCCGCCTTCCAGCAGGGTAAAATCCCACCCACGGCGTTCCCAGGAGCCCCTCCACCTGGCGGATCTCTGCTTCCTCATCCAAATATTAGTAAGTTTCAGAGCTCTGAAATGTTGTCTGCCTTTCGTAGCAGTCGCACAGCTTACCAAGTAGTTCTCGATGCTTATTTGTCAGTTTACAGGCAAAACCACTGGGTCTCATTCACTAATAATTGTGTGGATTATTTCATATTTGTACGCACAGGAGAACTTCTCACAAAATCTCCTAATTCACAACATGTGCATGGATTTGCTTAACCGCATTCAAACATTAATGAATGTGGAGTTTTCTAAATGAGCGGCTACGTGCGTGCCATGAGGATAGTCATTTGCATAAAACACGACCATTTACACAGACCTCTCATTAGCCAGCTGTACACATAAGCGCTGCAAGGAGATTTACAGTTAAGACCCAATTGACCAGTAATGATGAATGAAGACCAGGAGTCTGAAATGCAATCCATCAAAAGTTTCATCATCAGCATATTCAAGGAGCTTGTGGGCCGCTCTGCTCACAAATCCAATACAGCCGTAATTCTTCTCTAACAGAGTTTAATAATTATTTGTCATTACTTCAAGTTTCATGATTCTGATCATACCGGTCTCTTGGTCATGTGGTCATTCCAGCACTCTTGGGAGCCGTATTCTGTAACAAAGACACTGAAGCTCCTTTCACACAGCGCGTTGATCCCGGGAAATTGCCAGAACGCCTTCTGTGTGAACGCAAACACGACCCGGGATTGATGCCGGGTTGGGGACCTAGTAACGTTGCCGGGTTCAGTCCTGGAACCCGCGCTGTGTGAACAAAAGCCGTAATCAATGCCGTGTCCTAATGATGACGCTGAAGCCGGGATCGTTCGCCAGCTAGTGAAACAATACCTAATGCGCTAGTTTATGATCGAATCAGAAAAAAATGCACAAGCGTGGTTTCGCAGCTTATAAGCAAACTTAAGTCGCTGCTGAGACATTGTCACGTGTCTTTACGGGATTTTTATGGGTTGTGTGTGAACGCACTCTCTGATTCTGGAAAATCACTGGTAGTGTGAATGAACCAAAATCAAATGAACCCGGGTCAAATCCCGGGTCGCTTTATCCATGTATTTTCCGGAATATCTGTGTGAAAGGGTCTTGAGAGAGACACACGTATAGCTTCCTCAAGGTTGAAGTCTTCAGAGCTCTAGCTAGACCAGCAAATATTTCCAAAACATAGTGATAAGATGTACTTTCTCACAGTCAGAGGCTTGTACAACGTTCTTTCTTTATTCTATGGTGAAGCAGATGAAAAGTAAATGCTTTAATTGTGACCTGTTAACAGGGCCTGTTGTAACCTTGACTGCCATAGTCAGCAGGAAGAGTTACAAATATGAACATGGAACAACAGCACTTACAAGACAAATGAGGCTAAAAATGACTAATCTCATAAACCTAAAAAATTTATTCAAATCATTGTAAATATTGAAGGATAGATATTGATTAATAATGTGATCAAAACAGAGATGGAGTTCAGGAATCCACCCCTTCAGTGTATATTTGCGTATATATATTTTCTTCTATCAGACTATATGATGAAATGAATTTGTATTTATTTTTATATATAAAATATACAAGTTATATAATTTAACATGAATCATGATTTGTTCGTGAAAAAGTCTGTACGCAGATGTCACGCCTGCTTTGTGAATGAGACCCATTGTTTTTAATGCCCTGGTCAATTTTGAGCTTTTGGCCTATTCTGCTTCCATAACATCATCTTTCAGAATAGTGGAGAAGAAACATCCAAAATAAACATTCAAGTGTTTATTTCATTACACTATCTATTTGCGTCTGTAAATTTCAATAACAATAGATATGTTTTTAAAAGCGTTTCCTCAAAATGATTTTTCTCTGCACTATTATCTATATTCGGGGTTTGTTAATGTATCACTCGCCTGAAATATATTTTAACATTAGTTTCTACAGTATTTTCTTATTAATGGAGTGATAAAAAGAGATCCAAAATCCCCTCTGTGAAACACTAATACAAAATGAAACAATACTTGTTAATCCAGTATTTGGATATCTGGAAATCTAGTTTAATTACATAATGCCTTATAATATGACTTGTGTTTGTTTGCTTGGTTTTATTGTATTTATATGATATTTGTTTTTTGTAATTGACATTTTGTCATGAAAATAGCCTTAGATGCTGACATGGCATTAAATAAAACTATCTATCTATCCACACTAGATTGTATTATATAAATATTGGCATCATATCAGTCACCATGCTCTTTAGCTTTTTGTCATATCCATTAGGGATGATCCGATCACGCGATCGGAAATCGGGCCCGATCACGTGGTTTCAGACTCGATTGGAATCAGAGGTTACCTCCCGATCAGGACTCGGATATATGTAAATTAGGGGTGTAACGGTACATGTATTCGTAATTATTGAACCGTTTCAGTACGAGGCTTCCGGTTCGGTACGCATACAAACCGAACGATTCCTAGGACCATTTTTCCTGCAGACAAAATCCGCGCTGGCGCGATCACCACAACGCTGCGCAACATCAAATGGCAAACGTAATGAAAGCGGAACGAATCTTCGCTACTCATTATATTGTGCTTAACGGACCATTTATCAGTTCGGACCAGCAACATCTGTGCAGCGCGAGATCAAGCGACACTGTGCTAAGATATCCAGTGAAGAAAACATTTGAATTCTCCACTGAAGTAATAACATCGCTGCGAGATCTAGTGAGAAGCATTCACATTTCTCCGTTATTAACCGTAGATCTCTATTAGATCAAACAGCGCTGACGTGGAAACCAGGAGAAACATTGTGCCGTGAATGAATATGGATTTAATGTTGCACTTCAAAACTCAAATATTATATAAATATATATTTAAATGTTATTTTTAATGTGATTACCAACACATTATTTGTTCATCCTTCAAAGATGACCCCCATTTATAAACCTGAAAGTTTCAAGATGTAGGAAAACTCAAACTTATTTAAAAATAGTTTTTCTTTTAATAAATAGGAAATTTCTCTGGCATTTCTTTCTTTTTGCTGTATCGTGTCGAACCGAACCGCACATTTTGTGAACTGTTACACCCCTAATGTGTATATATTCTCATTATTTTTTTATACACTTTTAAAACATTTTTATTTTTTGTTTACATGCCTGCCGGGTATTTTAAGTTGAGGTGCTATTCGTTTTTATATTAGACTTTTTCTATATTTACTGTTGCACTAAAGTCAAAAAGTGAAGATTTTATGTTATTTATTACTTGATTGTTCAAGCTACCTCACAGAAGTGCTCTGTTTGTTAACAGAATTGTTGAATGTTAAAATAAGTTGAATTAAATAAAAAATAAGGAACATCCTGGATCTGTTTTTTTCTCTCTTCTTATATTTTTTTTTATGTATTATATAAGAATCGGATCGGGACTCGGTATCGGTAGATAGTCAAAATCAAATGACTCGGACTCGAGGGCAAAAAAACCTGATCGGGACATCCCTAATATCCATCAAACAATAAATTAAGAATTTACTTTAATGAATTGATTATATTCCAAGTTTTTTACATAACTATAAAAACACATGTGTTTCCTTTGAAGATTATGTTCCAAGAATAAGATATTTTTTTTGCAGGTGGACCTCCGAGGCCTGGCATGTTACCAGCTCCACCAATGGGTGGTCCTCCTATGATGCCCATGATGGGTCCACCTCCTCATGGCATGATGCCTGGAGGACCAGGTAAGATTGGTGACCGCCTAGATCAAATGTAGATGTAGCCAAGTTCATGTCAAGGGTGTCTCGTCAACAACAATCTGAATTTAATATCTAAATTCTTCTGGATTTCTTTCAGGTCCAGGTATGCGTCCACCAATGGGCGGACCTATGCAAATGATGCCCGGGCCACACATGATGCGACCTCCTGCTCGGCCAATGATGTTGTCCGTTAGACCTGGTATGGTGCGACCTGATCGATAAAACCACGATTTCCCACCCGATATCCATGCAAGACTCGGCCAAATATCTACACTGGTTTTACAGTCGATTGAAGATTTTTATTGCCCATTTGCGTTTTATGATGACTAATGCCTGCAGTTCAGGAAACATTGGTCGCTCGAGTGACTCGGATTATGACAAATTCCTGTAAAATTTAATGAACCTTCCATTGGCTTTCATTTCATATTTATGACAGACCAGAGGGTTACAAAGTGGGTTTGTGTATGATGTGCATTTATTACGTTGATGGTTGTTTTGTTTTTATTTACTGTTGTTTTTTTTTTTAGCATTTTGTTTTTCATGTATTTTGAGAAAATAAAATGGAAAAACAACGTTTTTTTGCTTGTTTTGATTTGGTCTACTTGTACAGTTTTTAAACAAACACAGTAAAATGTATCTTGATTACTCACAATAATGTAATCAAATCAATAGCCAATCCAGCTAGTGTTGTAATTTATAAAATATCCTGAAATAAAATGCAATTCAAACAAGACAAAAACAGAGCAAAAAGTCTTGAATTTATTAGTTCAATGGCATTGAGATAGTATAATGATTGTTCTTTAAGTAAATGGAATGAACATACAGAATAGTATGAACATTCAAGACAAAAAGTACATTTAATCGACATCTTTTAATCGTAGTTACTTTACCTTCTACATAGGCCAACAGTGGTATTTTTTTCTTGTGTTGTCAAGTGCAAGCATTCAGCCCTGATCCTGGTATGTTTCTGACATCCTCATACTCTTCCCAACCAGGGAAAATAGAGGACACTAATGTAATTTGTGTTAAATAGTTTGTCAATATTTGCTCAAATTATGTGAAGTTCAAAAGAAATTCAAGTGAATTCAAAGAGGAAGCGAGGGAGAAGTGTTGCCTGAGGGATTTGCATTTTTTTTCCTCTTTTTCTGTAAATCATTCCTACTATTTCACTGCAGCACATGTGCCCACAAAAACAACCTGCTAACTATAAAAAAAAATAAAAACACTCGTCGTAATGCTTAGACAGCTAGGATTTGTGACAGATGGCCATAAAGTGACATTTAATTCAGCTCTTTGTTTTCATACGGCAAATCAATAGCCTAAATATGCTACATCTTTGCTATTTCACAGTAAGATCATTGCATCAACCATTGATTTGCTATTAATTTAGCTGGATTCCTCACATAGGTAAAAATATTTTTGCTGATTTATATTATTTCTTCTCAACTGTAACGTTTCCATCTCAGGTCTTTGTTTTAAATGCCATAAATCTTCAACAAGCAGTTCTACAATGTACACAAGTTCAAAAAGATCAAGAAACTCATTTTTCATATTTTTTTTTAGGTATATGCTGCGTCACTCACAAAGTCCTCCATATGAAAATAAACCACAGTTTAAGAGGAAACATTGAACACTAAAATGTCACAATGTTCACACAGTGCTCAGGAAAGAGAATCCCAGTTTTCCAGAAATTCCACAAAGTTCTGTTAGCGATTTGAAAATATTTGAGTGAATCTCATGGACAAACTTGAGAAATGCCTGGATCATCCCAAAATCAAATCAAAAGAAACCTATTTTTAGGACCATACATTTTTTTCAATGTCATGACAATTAAGCAAATTCCTCCCCAACAACTTTTTACCAAATTAAGATATATTATTATTGATATTACGATATAATATTATTAAAATAGACTACATTTGCAGAGTACAAATGTAAGTATACATTTTGGTCGTATCTGTTGCATTTAATTTATCCTGACTTTAATAGAAAAATTATAACACATTACAGTCCTAAAAATAGGCTTCATTTGGTATATGCGAAATCTCTCCTTTGATTTTGGGGTGAAATATGACATTGCTTTATGAGATTCAATCAAACTGAATATCATGCTGATTCATATTTTAATATTTGATATGTCACGTCCATTTCCACATCACCAGCAAATCAGTTGAGTAATGTCCTTATTCCAGTTGATTTTTGCAGTAGGAGCAACTTTGGACAGTCCGTTTGGTACGGCAGTTAAGTGCTAATTTTGTATTTCTATTCCTCTCTCGCATACTCACACAATTTCTTCCTCATTTGGACTCACACATAAAGTTTCACCTGATTCCCCTTCAATTCACACCTTGGTGTCCGGAAACTTGAAAGGTGGAGTAAGCTACACAAGGAAAAATATATTGGAATTCAGAAATGGGAATACTCTAAGAGCCCAGACAGGACTGCTGATTAAACTATAAATATTGGTAAAACTTTATTTTAAGGTGACGAAGCTACACGTTACTACATGTACTTACTATAGTAATAACAGTAAATGATGCATAATTATAAGTAGCTAACCCTAAACCAAACCCGAACCGTAACACTATAGAAAGTACATGTACCGGTAGTAGGCTACCTATTTTAGTAAGTAGCCTACAATGTAACTATATCACCTTAAAATAAAGTGTAACCGAAATATTAAATGTGAGACAAAATTTCAGAAATATGAACACAGTATCAAAAAATACACAAAGCTCACGTTACAGGATGTGATGGCATGAGTGAAATTAATCTTGAGTTATAGCCTCTTTGGCAATTATCAGTTAGGAAATGGGACAAAACAATGTCAAACGATGGTTATTAATGCGTGAGGATGACAGCGATGTCTGGATGCTGAGGATGTGCAACACAGTCACAAAGAAATTACCACAACTTTAACAGATAACTCCATTAAACAGGAGATGAGAGACAAACACTGCAGTTCAAAGGTGAGCAACAGCCAGAATCAAACCATCCTTTTCCACACATGAAGAATAAAAACAGCCACATACACAATGCAACGATTTGAGAGTGACGACATTTAAATTAGAAATAAATCCCCTAAATGATCATTCTGAATGTGTGTGGAGTCACTCCGGAACGGGCAAAAGCGACCGTTGCGAAACTGTCACCATAGCAACAGCGTCTAGCTGGCTATTTCTATTTATTTATTTATGTCCTGTATTTTTAGGTTTGGTGGGAGAAACTATGGTGAAGATTAACTATCTAAATATATGAACAAATCAAGACATACCTCAGTTTCTGTGGGTTTTCCAGCACCTCAGAGAGAAGAGTCTGACGTGTAATGATGTCACTGAGGTAATAGTTCGGTTCGGTCGCGTATGCTACGCATATTTAATCAAATGCGGTTGTCACTATTTAAATGTTCCGTGAGTGAATCTGGTTTCAAAATGCAATTGTTTCTGCTGTAATAACAGAACTGGGAGTAGAAAAAAAATCGTATTTAGCCGCAGTGTGAACATGGCATAGCCTATAGACAGAACATAAAACTCGGGCCTATTTAGCCAAAGTAAAACAGCAGATTTCTAGCATCTAATACACTGAAATAAATTTTTTTTTTTTTGCGTGAATAAACAAAGTGGTGCAAACAATACAGTGGTTTTCCAAACGTTCAGTACGTCACAATATGCGTAAGGCTGTTTGGACCTTTTTTTTTTTCTCTCTAGCCTTAGTGCTTTTTCTTTTCTTGGCTTCATTATCTTCTCTCTAAAGATAATTGTCACCATGGGAAATCTTTTATAATTGAAAAAAGTAACATTTACTCTTATTACGTCTACGAAAATACTTTGTCTCATCTTTCTGCAAATGGCTTCCCTCGGGTAACTAAATTTACGGAACAAATCATCAATCACAAAATGAACATAGAGGTTATACACACACTTATCATGTGATGTTAACAATGTAAAGTTTCAAATATAGAACTCTACGGAATAAAATGGATTCCCTTGAAAGATAAAAGGTCATTAATCTAATTACGTCCCTAAAACAACGAGAAAACAGAATGGGAATGTTGTCTTGATTATTCCATTTTCTTGGGGCTGTATTGTACTCTTCCTAGTAAAGCTGTATTGCATTTCAAATCCCAACCTCTAAACACTCTAAACAGGCATAGTCTTTCTTCAGAGGGCCTCAGAGCTGCAGATGCCTGGTAAGAAAAAGGGAAGCACTGGATGTGAATCGAAATAACAGACCAACTCTTTTGAAAAACTGAAGAACTGCTGGGGGGTGGGGGGGGAACGTGGGTCCAACTACGGGGGGAAAAAAAGTGATCTAGTGGTACGGGGTTTGAGGAGCGCTGATGGGAAACGGCGTTATGTTGCATTCATGATCGTGAAAGTACGTAAACTTGAAAAAAAGTACTAGTATTGCTGTTGCAGTCAGAGTTTGTTGATCTACTAATTTGTAATAAAGTTCCGCCAACGTGTCCATCCAGATGAGGAGATGTAGAAATGCTACAAGTGTCCGAGCTACTCGATAGGACTCGGCGCCTACACATTGGCTCAAGTTCGGAGCTTTTGTGATAGAGAGCCCTCTGGTACGAGGGCCAAACCGTAAACATTCAGCGTAATGTATAAAATATCGAAGCTTTCAGAGGCGATTTCGGACCATGACGGAAGAGTTTGAGGAGGCTGGTTATACGGCATATCCAAGAATTCCAGAAAGCGCTCATTGGTCAAGACGACAAAAAAGGATGGTGGAGGCGTTCGGCTCTCCGAGAGGGCAATGCAGGCAAGGACCGGGGTCGGGATTGGCGTGGGAAGTAGTCTTGCCCTGAGGGAGGCTACAAATCACAGTGAGAAGGCACGGGGCACTCAAGTTTATGGGGCGTGGGGTTGAAATAGGGCAGCAGGCGGGATTGGACAAGGGCCGTGCCCTGCTTCAAAAAATGGTGGTCTCATACTTGGTGCTACTCGAAGGTCTGGAGGAGTCCCGTGGTTCGAAGAGCCAACTGGTGCTGGCCAGGGACTGCAGGTCCGTTTCCGGCTCCAGAGGGTCGATCTGCCGGAGAAGTAGGAGCGAGGAGTGAGACTGCAGGAGAGAATGGCAGCCAACGGAAACCCACATTTCACACAAGTGAGGAAGTGGCCGTTGTGGATGAACACCATGTAGGAGAAATCACCGTAGACATAGACAACAACACTTATATCTGGACCTGATGCTGGTTTGAGTGTATAAACACAAATGCCTGGAAATAGTTGCTCATTTTGTAAGAATTTAAGGATCCATTTACAATACATTTTTAGGTAAATGTGTCCTTTCAAATTGCACACAATCTTCATTTTAAAAGTAGGGTCTTTAAGAAGGTCGCCTGATGATGTCATTTTGAGTTTTTTCCAAAAAAGTGACGATATTGAGATGGATAACAAAAATTGTAAATGTAAGATATTTGTGGCCAATGTTGTTACCGCAACATTTTAAGTATTCCTTAAAATGCAATACTTTGTTTTTGAAAAGACCTCTCAATGACACTGTTTGGCGACACCAACGAATATGAAATTCCCACTATGTGGAATATTGTTTTCTAATAATTTCAAAGACGTTGCTCCAGGCTTGGCAAACCCAATTGAAGAAAGGTGTAGTGATTTGTGAAGTACAACTATAACAGCACAAATCGCCCGAAAACATGTCTGGGTCATATTTCACCCCAAAATCCTCAGCAATTACATTTTGCTTAAATTAAAATAAACCATTACAATTTTGCATTATGAAATTAAGACAATTATGCACACAAGTTTCATTACCGTAATGCTAATGAACGTTTTACTTTGTACTGTATTACTGTTAGAATTAAAGGGGTGGTTCAGGATCTTTGACATCGGGCCTCATTTCCAAGTTAACCTGGGTGTTATTTATCAGTGGAGACAGTTTTCAAAAAATGTCATCCAGTCCTTCGAGTTGCATAGTTCGCCGGTGCTAGGCTAGCGCGAGTCAACGGTATCTGCTAGCCTGCCATTAAAAACAGTTTTACCCACTCCACAGTACACCAAAAGCAAATAAGCCAGACTATCGATGTAAATGTCTGTTGAGAGAATAATGTTAGAAATCAAACTACCCTTTCCTGTATTTATTAGCACAGTCTACAGCAGCGGTGGAGTGATATTAAGTTACCTAGGCAGCTGAGAGAGGTAGTGAGAGAGAGAGGTAGAGAGAGGTAGTGAGAGAGAGAGGTAGAGAGAGGTAGTAAGAGAGAGAGGTAGAGAGAGGTAGTAAGAGAGAGAGAGGTAGAGAGAGAGAGAGGTAGAGAGAGGTAGAGAGAGAGAGAGAGGTAGAGAGAGAGAGAGGTAGAGAGAGGTAGAGAGAGAGAGAGAGGTAGAGAGAGGTAGTAAGAGAGAGAGAGGTAGAGAGAGGTAGAGAGAGAGAGAGAGGTAGAGAGAGGTAGTAAGAGAGAGAGAGGTAGAGAGAGGTAGAGAGAGAGAGAGGTAGAGAGAGGTAGAGAGAGAGAGGTAGAGAGAGAGAGAGGTAGAGAGAGGTAGTAAGAGAGAGAGAGGTAGTAAGAGAGAGAGAGGTAGAGAGAGGTAGTAAGAGAGAGAGAGGTAGAGAGAGGTAGAGAGAGAGAGAGGTAGAGAGAGAGAGAGAGAGAGAGGTAGAGAGAGGTAGTAAGAGAGAGAGGTAGAGAGAGGTAGAGAGAGAGAGAGAGGTAGAGAGAGGTAGTGAGAGAGGGAGAGAGAGAGAGAGAGAGAGAGAGAGAGGTAGTGAGAGAGAGAGAGAGAGAGAGAGAGAGAGAGAGAGAGAGAGAGAGAGAGAGAGAGAGAGAGAGAGAGAGAGAGAGAGAGAGAGAGAGAGAGAGAGAGAGAGGTAGAGAGAGGTAGTGCAGGTAGTCCCGACTGTAGTGCGCTTCGGTTCTGTGTTTACTTTTCGTCGCAGTACTACTAACCGGGAGCAAAGTAAAATTCCGCCGCTGCTGAGAAACTAGTTCCTCTAAATGTCATGCGATCATTGAGATGCAAGAGTCCTTTTATTTCTAACATTATTTGCTTTTGGTGTACTGTGGAGTGGGTAAAACTGTTTTTAATGGCAGGCTAGAAGATACCGTTAACTCGCGCTAGCCTAGCACCGGCAAACTATGCACATTTTTTGAAAACTGTCTCCACTGATAAATAACACCCAGGCTAACTTGGAAATGAGGCCCGATGTCCAAAATCCTGAACCACCCCTTTAAGCAATATTAAATTCACTACCACTAACAATTTAAATAACATATTGCCATCTATCTATCTATCTATCTATCTATCTATCTATCTATCTATCTATCTATCTATCTATCTATCTATCTATCTATCTATCTATCTATCTATCTATGTGTGTATGCATATATACACTCACCGGCCACTTTATTAGGTACACCTGTCCAACTGCTCGTTAACACTTAATTTCTAAGCAGCCAATCACATGGCGGCAACTCAGTGCATTTAGGCATGTAGACATGGTCAAGACAATCTCCTGCAGTTCAAACCGAGCATCAGTATGGGGAAGAAAGGTGATTTGAGTGACTTTGAACGTGGCATGATTGTTGGTGCCAGAAGGGCTGGTCTGAGTATTTCAGAAACTGCTAATCTACTGGGATTTTCACGCACAACCATCTCTAGGGTTTACAGAGAATGGTCCGAAAAAGAAAAAACATCCAGTGAGCGGCAGTTCTGTGGGCGGAAATGCCTTGTTGATGCCAGAGGTCAGAGGAGAATGGCCAGACTGGTTCGAGCTGATAGAAGGGCAACAGTGACTGAAATAACCACTCGTTACAACCGAGGTATGCAGCAAAGCATTTGTGAAGCCACAACACGCACAACCTTGAGGCGGATGGGCTACAACAGCAGAAGACTCCACCGGGTACCACTCATCTCCACTACAAATAGGAAAAAGAGGCTACAATTTGCAAGAGCTCACCAAAATTGAACAGTTGAAGACTGGAAAAATGTTGCCTGGTCTGATGAGTCTCGATTTCTGTTGAGACATTCAGATGTTAGAGTCAGAATTTGGCGTAAACAGAATGAGAACATGGAACCATCATGCCTTGTTACCACTGTGCAGGCTGGTGGTGGTGGTGTAATGGTGTGGGGGGATGTTTTCCTGGCACACTTTAGGCCCCTTAGTGCCAATTGGGCATCGTTTAAATGCCACGGCCTACCTGAGCATTGTTTCTGACCATGTCCATCCCTTTATGGCCACCATGTACCCATCCTCTGATGGCTACTTCCACCATGTCACAAAGCTCTAATCATTTCAAATTGGTTTCTTGAACATGACAATGAGTTCACTGTACTAAAATGGCCTCCACAGTCACCAGATCTCAACCCAATAGAGCATCTTTGGGATGTGGTGGAACGGGAGATTCGCATCATGGATGTGCAGCCGACAAATCTGCGGCAACTGTGTGATGCCATCATGTCAATATGGACCAAACTCCCTGAGGAATGCTTCCAGCACCTTGTTGAATCTATGCCACGAAGAATTGAGGCAGTTCTGAAGGCAAAAGGGGGTCCAACCCGTTACTAGCATGGGGTACCTAATAAAGTGGCCGGTGAGTGTATATATATATATATATATATAAAATGTGTGTGTGTGTGTGTGTGTAGAGAGATTTTTTTGATGCTTAATTATCATCAAAATAATGTCAAAACCAATTTTTAGTCATAATCTTATTTATGCAAAATATAATATCTTCTTTTTCTTATTATTCTGGAGTGAAATATCATCTGGACATGTTCTGGACAGGTTTGGTGAGAGTCAACTAAACAAACTTTATTTATATCAAGCACATCTTCAGGCCAAAACAAGAATTTGCCAATGACACAACATATCCTCCTCCTAGGATTACACATGATCGCAACCTTTATATCATCTCGAATCTAAAAGATTGTCCTTATACCACATTTTAAATTTGTGACCTGTTGCTAGTGTCAACCAAAAATGTACATGGGGGAAAAAAATAGGTGGATAACAGTGACAATTGGAAAACGTAACAGGAAAATTAGTAAAGTGAATAAGTGGCAGGGAAGAGAAAGCCAGAGAAGTAGCAGGAGGAAGAGTGCTGGAGAATGTGAGGAAGAGAGAGAGAGAGAGCAGAACCTGAACTCCAGGGCTGATAGAGGGCAGCGGGAGGTAGGAGGGGCGGTGGGCGGAGCACGTGTGACAGTAACAGCAGCGGCATTCAAGCACAGGTGCACCCTGGGAAGGAGGACCGGGCAGAAGCACAGAGACATAGATTACAGGCTTACGGCAGAAAAGTAAAGACATTTAAGACATGAAAAGTATACTGGGACTGGAGGTGACGCCTCTCGACACAATTAAACCCGCTCCTTGAAGTGGCTCATTCCTACTATGCAGTATATATTTTTTTACCTCTCCATCGTATATGTCTTAATATATTGGATAAATATCAAAATTAACTTATAATTAAACAAAACTAACCTGTTCCTCTTGCTGACACCTATCTATCAAGCTAACTATCCCTTGCTGATCAATGGCTAACTTTAGCTCTTTATTTTGTACATCATGTTAATGTCTTGCAATTCTGTAAATAATCTAATCATATTTAATAAAGACCAAAACAAAACAGAAATGACCCAAGAATTCAGCTCAAGTTTTAAGTTGTGAAATAAACCAACACTATAATTTAGCAAACACACACAAAAAACAGCTATTCAAAATCATTTCCATATTGAATTAGATGCAAATAAGAATGAAGCATGTGCTGCGAATGTATTGTGTTAAAACTGGCTCAAAATGATCCTAATGTAATTGGACCGTAGTTAGGGTAGATGCCATATTCAAACTGACACAAATGCAAATTAAGCCATTTATTTAAGCCATTAAATATGACATCTATGATATATTCTGACTAAAGTCTACTGATTCTGGGATAATTAAGTCAATATTTTAGTTTAGGTTTCAAGATTTATGGACAGCATCTGTGACAAGCTGTTGATTAACACAGAAAATGATTTAGACTCCTCCACAGTTTGTATAAGCTAGCAAAAATGATGTTTACAGTAATGCACTCATAATAAAGGACAATGCATTGCAATAGAATAACCTTTAAAATACAGAAAATAAACGTTTCCAAGTAAAACAACATTAAAAGTATGCAAAAAAAAAAGGATTTTCTTCCTCAGTGTTTTTGTCGTGTTCTGTTTTACAAATATTAAGCAGATTTTTTTGGTTTTAAGCATAAACTCTCTTACTTTTGATCAATTTATTTTTCAGAGAACTAGACTTAATAACTTAAGTAATTTTGAATTTTGCTTCTCAAGTAAATGTATCTTGATTTAAAAAATGTTTAGATATTTGTACTGGAAAACAATTTTTTGCAGTGCATTTACTGAACTTCATCCATGAGTTGTCCGACCACTACATGTACGATTCAGTCAGCTTTACAGTTTAAATAAAACAGATTTTGTACAGAATCAGAAGTGTTACTAAACAAACTAGCTACATAAGCTGCACATTTCTGAATGTTTTGCCCTATAGTCGCCCATTGTAAGATCAATACTGTAAATTCTACTTTTTACTAGCTTTTACTAGCTGAGAATCAAAAACATATGAACACAATACATTCATGATGCATAGTTCATCCTTAAAGGGATACTCCACTTTTTTTGGAAATAGGCTCATTTTACAACTCCCCCAGAGTTAAACTGTTGAGTTTTACCGTTTTTGAATCCATTCAGCCGATCTCCGGTTCTGCCGTACCACTTTTAGCATAGCTTAGCATACATCATTGAAGTGGACAAGACCATTAGCATTTCTAAAAAAAAAAAATTACCAAAGAGTTTCGAAATTTTTCCAATTTAAAACTTGACTCTTCTGTGGTTACATCGTGCACTAAGACCGACGGAAAATGTAATGTTGCGATTTTCAAGGCTGATATGGCTAGGAACTATACTCTCATTCCTCTGGTAATAATCAAGAAACTTTTTTTTTTTTTTTTTTTAAATCAAAATACAGTAGATACAGATGTTTCACATATACTGTACTAAATGATTACAAATCATCATAAGATATGAAAAGCATTAAAGATAACATTCATATCAATGAAATTAAAGAACACTCAATCACACATTAGAAAAAAAAAAGAAAGAAAAAAAAGAAACAACAACAATGTAAAGGAGGTATACATGTATACTTAAAATAAAGAAGAGGAGTTTAAATATTTGAGGATGTCCATCGTTCTGGTTGCTTTGCGGTTTGAGAGTCCTTTCAGTGTTTCAAAATAAATCTTCATGTCAGCTTTAAAATGGTAAATGTTAGGCATCCTTTCAGACCATTTACATTTATGTATGTAAAACTTACCAAGTAATAAGATCAAATTTAACATAAAATCGTGACTCTTGTCTAAATCTTTTTTTTCATAATAAAAAAAAACATCTCTTTTCTCTATACTTATCATAATTCCACTCAACATATTAAATAAATATTCCACATCAATCCAGATAATCAAGAAACTTCACTGCCGTACCATGAGAGCAGCAGGCGTAATGATATGACGCAGCGCCTGAAAATAGGCTACCTTCCGTCAACACAACGGAACTATTTTCAGGCGCTGCGTCATATCATTACGCCTGCTGCTCTCATGGTACGGCAGTAAAGTTTCTTGATTATAACGCAGGAATGAGAGTATAGTTCCTAGCCATATCAGCCTTGAAAATCGCAACATTACATTTTCCGTCGGTCTTAGTGCACGATGTAACTACAGAAGAGTCAAGTTTTAAATTGGAAAAAATATCGAAACTCTTTGGTCATTTTTTTTTAGAAATGCTAATGGTCTTGTCTACTTCAATGATGTATGCTAAGCTATGCTAAAAGTGGTACGGCAGAACCGGAGATCGGCTGAATGGATTCAAAAACGGTAAAACTCAACAGTTTAACTCTGGGGGAGTTGTAAAATGAGCCTATTTCCAAAAAAAGTGGAGTATCCCTTTAACCACACCATGACCTTATGTGTGTGTGCCGAGCTCATACTCACGGTGGAGCGGCGCACACTGTTGCGGGACTGAGAGGTGGGCCTGCTGGTCTTGGCTTCTATGTTTTCGGAGGCTGGACCAGCATATGAACTGTGACGACGGGACTTCTGTGCCTGGAGAGCCATATGATATGCTACCTCAAAAGCTTGTCCCAGCGTCAGGATGATCTCATAGGTCTGTGTCTGAACGGAAAACAGCCATTAGTGGAGTCATCAAATAATTACACAATATCAGTTTTCAATCTCAGTTAGGCTATAAAAAGCAAAAAGCGGCAGAGGAAACTATATTTGACCTGACAGCCAAAGCGCAACCTGTGGTGTTGCACAAGCTCGTCGAATATTTTGATGTACGAGTTGCCGAGATGAGATAACTTTTGACCTTTTTTTTTAAAATGGCGGAGAGCAATGCGAGAGTCGTGAATGGTAAAAATATGTACTATTCATGATCTAGAAAATATACAGCATATTATTTACCGTTTGAGTTTTGATAAATCATTTTCTTGCTGCAGCAGATGACTTAAGCAATCTAAAATAGTTTTAGCTAAATAACAGGTCTGGATCTCCATCTTTTTACCACATTACGACAACAAAAGCACTTGAACCGAACACACTGGTAAATACCAGTTGTTCACAAGTGGAAAATATCATATTTTCCATAGCACGTGAACACACCATTACACATGTGAAGAGGCTAGCCAATCACAACAGAGCTCGTTTACATAAAGCAGTCAGAAAGATAATCAGAAGGGTCAAAGAGAATTATTTTAAATTACATTAAATTAAATAATAAATAAATATTATCTTGTCTACTTTCAATTCAATGTCAGAAATATAAAATCCAATAAAAATAATAAAATGCATGTAAAATAATAAATACATTCCATATGATAATTAATAAAAACTAAATTACATCTTTGGAGAAATAAAAAACACCATGACACCTTAATATAATAACTTAAATTTTTTTTTAGCTATTAATAATAATAATAATAATTAAATAAAACTGCAGAATATGGCAACTTTAAATATTCCAATATTCCCAATAACTTTTTGTTTTGTCATAAATATTGCTCATCATAAATATTATCAGATCTATAGCTCACTTAGGCTAAATGGGGTCCATTTTGATTTCATATTGACTTTAACGAACCCGTTTCCTAACCCTGGTTGGTTCCCCAATAAAAGAGCAGATAAAAACAACACACACCACTTCTACTGTAGTGAAGACATGGCAGAAGTGAAAACCAGACTTCAGGTCTTTCGTGATGTATGCAAATGTGCAAAGGTCATC